GAAAACAATGTTGTGCCTTTTGCCAATGGCTTCCATGAAGCCTCACCTTCTTGAAGACCAACTTGCCTGGGCACTACAGCTGGACGTTGTTGTACACCTTGTCGTAGTGCACCAACTTCTCCAACCAGAACAGGGAATCTCTTCATTTCTCTCCTGTTTTGATGTGCTCTTTCATCACGTTGGTTCTGTCCTCCACGACGAGTACGTCGTTGTTCATCTTGTGCTGCATACGTGGATGTCAAAACATCAGCACGAGCTGGCTCTGTCTCTGCAACATCAACACGTGCTGGTTCAGTTGTTCCAAATGAAAAGAAACCATGACCAGAACTTGAAGCTGCAGAAGAATAATGAGCTTGTTGAGTTTGTTGATTCTGTATGGCAGGAGCTGATGTGGTCTGAGGTTGAACATAGTTCGACTTGCCTTTCCATCTCCTGGCTTTCCTCCTTTTCCATCATCATCCTTGCCTTTCTTGCCTTTCTTTCCTTTTCCTTTTCCTTTTCCTTTCTTCTGGAAGTATCCATACTCATCCATGTAGTACAGATCATCATAGGCCCAATAGCCTTCATTCCAGGTTTGATCATCGGCCCAATAGCCGTCATAGTTTTCATTCCATTCATCTTCTTGCCATTCATCTTCATAACCTTCTTCACTCACCATGTGAGCACGGCCTTTTCTTCTTCCTTTACCTCGGCCTTTTTCTTTTCTTGATCTGAAGAACCTTCGTCCTCCTCTGCCTTTTCCTTTTCCTTTTCTCTTTCCTTTACCTTTGCCTCGTCTGATGTATTTGCCTTGGAACCTTCTCTGATACCATGTGAAGTTGGCGTCATCATAAACCCAGAAAACATCTTCTAAAGCATCCAGGAATCCTTCTGCGCCGTCCTCTTCATCTTCGGCCCAATAGCCGTCGGTTCCTTCTAATTCACCTTCATCCAGTACGAGGAAAGATCTTCTCTGTGCCATGCCAGAGGGTTGCATCAATGGATTGTCAACTGCTGTTTTGGTAGGGCAAAACATTTCCAAAAACAGGTCACGTAGTTCTTGAATACTGTATCGATCGAGGGTTCGTCCACGATGTGTCATGATACTTGTGAGTGTGTTTCTCTGATCTTGACTCAGGTCAGCTAGACTTACAAAAATCAATGCTATCAAATTTTCACCCAGTGGGAATGCTTGTCGCTGTGCTTCTCTACGATTTTCCTGAAATTGTCTGAATGCCGCTAGTGCCAGTTCATCTGTCCAAGGAACAGCTACATGGGGTGTTCCTGAGGCTGCTGCTACTTCAGCTCTCTCTTGTTGATCTCGTTCATGTTCTTGACGTCGTTGTTGAACAAACAGAATTGCTTCAGGACTAGTCACTGTTACTTCTGGAAGTAAATCCATCCAAGACTCAATAAGTCTATTGCCAGTGAGTTGAAATCTAGTCATCCACTTCTGAAGATCCATGGTTCCTCTGTTGAACTTCATGAACTGCATGAAACGGTATAAGAACACGTTCTGGGCACCTTTGATGAAATGAGGTCGTAGAAATCTTTTGAAATAAGCCACTCCTTCATAGGGATCCCTGAGTAATTCTCTATCCAATAGCCTCTTGTATTGTTGAGCATCTCCTTCCAGTCTGTTGCGCAATGCTGGACCACGTTTCTCTGGTTCTAACTCCGTAATGTCACACCAGTCATCAATTGCATCCTCAAAAGCAAAGAAGCTGGTTCGCCCATCATAGGCTGGAGCAACCTTTGTGGTCATCTGTTGCGTCATATGAATCTGTGTATGCTGGGGTGCTCTTCTCATTGCATAAGAGTCATATTGGTTCCATTCATTTGCATCGACAATGTCGAAGTCATCATCATCATAGCCATGGCTTGCCATTTCTTGGGCTCAACCTGGAGCTCACCCTCAATGAGGGATCACTGCTCCGCTACCACTTGAAGAGGGGCCCTAGCGTCTACTTCAAGATCAGCTAAGGCGTCTTCCCCAATGACAGCACTCTTTTACTCTCAGCCTGTTGCCGGTCAGTGCTTGTCTACAGGGTTACTCTATATACCTCTTTCTTGAGCCTTGAAGGGCGCATATAAATGTGCTCAATACTCATGCATGTACCTATGTAGGTATTAGGTCGAAACAAAAAACAGGGGGCCCCCCCCCCCCCCCCTTATAATTGATATCCAATACATAACGGCGAGAATTCCATGAATTCCGTGGGCTGGCCCCCCAATACCCCCTAAGCTTGTGCTGAAGCACGGAGAACTCAGGTAGCTGACGCTACCTTTCGTGACTAATGCCCGCAGTTTACCTGCGTTGATTGATGTTGATTGATTGCACTTCCAGGCCTAGTGGAAGACTGGAATGGCTACCGATCCATGCTTTGGGGATTGTATAGTTGTGGCCAGAATCTATACCCTCTGGTAAACTAACATAACTATTGAAAATCACCATCTTCAATAGGTAAATCAACTATAAATTGGCAATTTTCAATAGCTATGTTAAATTACCAGAGGGTACTGGATTTTCTTGGAATTCCAGTTGACCAATCGGATCATGCAAAAGTACTGAGCGTGGCATGACCTGGCTTATGCTGTCATCCACATTCTTCCAATGACCAGGGCTGGCAAACCCTTGCAAGGACCAAACACACTTGGTGTTGTAGGAGCCGACAGATTGGCGGCATCCACAATTTCCAATATACGGATGAACATGGATGAAGATGTGTTCCTAATTTTGGTTGTGAGCAGCCAGAAACCTTGGAGATTGGAAACCAAAGGAACCCTCCAAGGGTCGCGTGTCCGTTGGCCAGTAATTTGCTCGGGTGACCACTTTCGGCCTCCAGCGTCAACTTGCGTCAACCTGCACCCAGAAAATGACGGTCCCATGGATCCGATCTATGATATAGGAACCCTAAAATTAAAAGTGACCATAGCCAAAAGAAATTGTTTTTCCAGACCCCCAAAAAAAATGGGGTTCCATGTGAAATTCAGCGGTGCACTCCCTTCCCCGCTCTTTGCCCTCACAAGAAACCCCCCCAATGACAGTCATGGGACCCCAAAATGAACATATCCCATGCATTTCACCGCGGTTTCTGGGGGTTATTGTATTTACTATTAGGTAGCGAGGATTCATCAAATGTTGGCCACAATCGCTGTCGAGCTTTTCCCAGGCATGGTCTCCAAAGTTCTCACTGTGGACGTGACGTGCTCCTAACTTTGTAACACCAAAAAGCTGTGTCTCAAAGGCTTGAAAAATATATATTGCAGTTGATGTCCATTCGCTATGAAATGACTCAACATCTCGTGCCTCATCATCCCAGGTTTCCCAGTACTTTGCCATTGAAGTTTGTCATTGTGCCAAGTGGAGTCGGGAGACTGTTCCGCCCCACAGATCTCAGTGGCCTCTAAGCCTCACATGATGCTTAAACCACCATGGATTTTCTGTTGTATCATGATTCTACTATAGTTGGTGAGTTAAGTTATATCCCCATTACCCTCTGGTAAACTAACATAACTATGGAAAATCACCATTTTCAATAGGTAAATCCACCATAAATGGTCATTTTCAATAGCTATGTGAAATTATCAGAGGGTACATCCCCATTGTATCCCCATGAGTTCCTTTCTGCTTCAAATTTCCCCGCTAACGCCATGGCCTGCGGCTTACATGGTCCAAAACCTGGCGCCATGGCGTCAGTTTCTGAAAATCTCCGAATTTGGGATCCAGAAATCTTGGTATCATTATACAATAATATATATATACAATTATATATATATATTATATTATACAATACTATAATACTATATATATATACAATTATATATATATTATATTATACAATACTATAATACTATATATATATACAATTATATACATATATCAGTCATATAAGACAATCTGAAAAACTTGGGATTCCGAAAATATCCACTTGATCACTTATTTATATTATACAATAAGTGTGAAAATGATTGCAGTGGTGAATATTGAAGCAAAACAAAAAACTGCCATTTTCGGGTGCGAATCATTTTGAGTCCATATCACAATATATCACAATCATCTCTCCTTGTAAACCACCATATTTCTCTGTGTAGCTTTGTCACCAAAAAAAGGCCCACTGGTTGCTGTGTAGCTGGGTGGCCACTGGTTGCCGTTGACCAACGGTTTTTCCCAACGGTTGGTTTTCCCCGTTGTGTTTCTTACCCAGGTTTTAGGAGCCCCGACGTGAGACCCACCATGACATAGGCTGCAATCAACATGGCTCCTTCGAGCCAATTGGACCTTAAAACAGCCAGTGAATCATCTTGGCACAACGAGTTGCGATTCAATGTGGGACAAACCATTTAAGTGGACAAACCCTTAAATGTTTCATAAAGTGCGAGGAGTTGTATTCACCCGCACCCCATTTCATATATATATGTACACTTATATATATATATTTTTTGTATAGCGTATGTGTAGACAAATGCATCACTACTCCTTCACACAACTGATAGATTCGGCAGAAATCGGTTTGAAAGAAAAAAACGGTGACCGATATCGCGGATCATCAGCATCTCAGGCAAGGAAAATACCAACCACAACTGCGCCATACTAACAATTGGCAAATATTCCTATGTTCATTTATAGTTATCCTGTTATCCTGTTATCCCCATTAAACCAGATAGTATATAATTAATAACCAATCAACAAGGGCATTGTTTAATGGCTCAATTGCCAAAAATAATGTTGAACCAACCCATCAACAAACAGAATCAACGTAGCATCTCTGATTGAATTCTATAATCCAGCCACCATCATCCAGTCACCATCCCCAAAATCTGGTTACAAAATAGTCAATGATTCTGGTTATCCATAAAATCTGGTTACAAAAAACCAGTCACCATCAATACCAATGGCTAATTCTGGTTATGATTCTGAGGATTCCCCCGTTCCAATCCGTTCCACCCATGGTGAGTTCGTCCATAGTCCATGGGATTCTGTGGGATTCCCTGGGCATCCGTGCTCGCCGTCACTGGTGACGCTCCCCACCTTTTTTGTGTGGTCGGTAAATCTGAGTTTTTCTGGTGACTATATATATATATATTTATACATATAGAGAGTGTATGTATATATATAGATTATATATATATATATATATATGAATCTGTGGTATCATGTCATAAACAAATCGGAAATCATATCCATTCTGGTCTAAACATGTCTACATAAACAGCTGTCATTGGTGTCATAATCAGGCCACATGGGCCAATTGGGTTATGTTGGCAGAGGCCCGCCCAATGCGAGAAGTTATGCTACTGGGTGGTTGTACCATTCTCTTAAAGAGAATCAACATTACTATCACATGGTTGGTAAACTCTTAGTAGCTCCTTGGCCTCCCATTCAACAGGGAATGTGGATACCCTTAGCTCCTTAGCTCCCTGCTAACCACCAGATAGCATATGCGCCATGGTCAAAACGTGGTATTCTGGTCATCCAACCCGTAAATTCGAATCGCAAGTCAATGGGTGTATAAATTAGTATAAATCCCAATCAAACACGGACCATCCCATGAAGGAAAATGAACCAACGGAGCTATCCCTTCGACAGGCCACTATGAGGACTGTGACCAGCAGGATGCCCGTGCCCAGGGGTCGAAAATTCAGATCCTTGGGACCGCGCTGTCGCACTGGTCGAGCTGGGGTTCCCCAACTGTAGAGATGGAAAATCATGGAAAAAAACAATCATCCAACTATATCGACATCCGATAATCATGGACCCTGCCATGAGTTGAAGGCTGGAAGACTACTTTGCCTCTTTTTTTTTGGACTTGTTGGGGGGATGGTCGTGCCCAAAATTCCTGCCATGGTCCAAAAGATGGGATCAATCTGGTCCATCCCAGACTTGGTTATCCAAATTTAAGCCAGCTACATCATGGTTATCTGGATGATTTGTTTGTAAAAATCATGGAAGATATATCCAAACATCATGGTTATCCAAATATCATGGATGATATGTTTGTAAAAACCATTGGAAAACCCAAAGGATTGATGACCCTCCACCTGGTGGATGCCAGGGATGGGCACGCCTGCGTCTGCCTGAGCTTCCCCACCATGGGTACACCAATGGCCCAGCCAGCGCACACCTGGGTACCGGTTATACCCCAAAATTGCCGACTTTTTGTGGGGGAAAAAAGTTGGGACACTAATAATTCATCCATGAATCTCGGAGTATACCATGATAATTGATCATAATTAATCAATGGATTTATGGATTTGGGGGTGTATGCTGCAGTATATGGAACAAAGCCAAATTCGCGCTGTCCAAAGAGACATGGATCAATCCCAGCAAACCACGAGCTGCAAGAAAGTCGTGCTAGCTGCAGTGGCCATAGGAAACCTGCTACTGGAGTCCCCAAGAATGGGATGGGGCGCCTTGCCAAGAATTTCAGGGATTTTTTTTGGGGCATCTGCAGTTCAAAATCCTGGTCGTGTACTCATTGAATCGACCATTGCTGTTTCTCCCCTCCAAACCCTGGTCTTTTCCCGTGTTTTTTTTCCCATGGCCATCATCACCACGAACCCATCCACCAAGCCACGCTGAAGGGCACCACCAACAAAGCAATCTGCGAGGACGAACCCAGAGCAACGCCCAGCGAAAGGTCCATCTTGTTCTTCAGAGCCACGTCCACCTGGGCGCCGGACCACTCGACCATAGTTGGAATATGAATTCGTCACTGGGGTAGAGAGATGGATTACCAGCTCTATATACGTATGTATATATATATACACAAATATATGTATATAATATATAGAGAGAGATAGAGAGAGAGATAGAGAGAGATACATATAGATAGATAGATAGATAGATAGATAGATAGATAGATAGATAGAGAGATAGGGAGATAGGATAGAATAGACTAGACTACTAGACTAGACTAGATTGTATTAGATTAGATGAGATGAGATTATATAAAATAAGAAGATAAGACATAGGATGAGAGAAGATAGAGAGATGGAGAGATGAGATAGAGAGATTCATAGAGCGATAGATCTAGATAGATGGATAGCTATCTAGATAGATAGATAAATAGATAGTAGGTAATGGTAGATAGCTAGCTAGCCAGATCATCATTATACCATCATTATACCATCATAATACCATCATTAGCCAGCTAGGTAGGTAAATAAATAGGGCCACTGCCACTGACGACACCTGGCGAGCGGCTAGTTTTAATGGCCCCCAAAAGGTGACAGCCATGATGGCTCGAATCTGAACCGCCAAGCGCCAATAAAAATAAGGCCGGATCTTAACCATCTACTGTAACTATAACAATTCATGAATTAAGATCAGCAGATTTTATCATTAACCATCCAACTATAACATTCGTTTCTAACTATATATGATTGTCAGTTGCTGATTATGAATTTTTCAGAAACTATAAAATGAAAGGACAGCAATTATCATATCTGGTTGGTGGTTTCAACCCCTCTGAAAAATATGAAAGTCAGTTGGGATTATTATTCCCAATATATGGAAAATAAAAAATGTTCCAAACCACCAACCAGATATACACTCATCATAATCATATACACAAATTTGCTCAGTCCCTACCCAGCTTTCACCTTCCAAATCCAGATATCGGGGGCCCCACAGCTGTGAGATGTTCCGCCGCGTTTCCCACGATGGGGAGCAGAATCTGCGGAGTGGTCGTGCTGGGGGAAATCCCTTACTTTGAGGAGATGTGAGTATGTTCATAATATATACTTGTACTCATATACCGCACTTATACATACAAAATACTTGTGCACATATGTATGTATACATATATATATATATATATGTCAGTATGTAATATGTCTTCTTGGAAATGCTTATATATATATACGCTTGCGCAATCTTGCGCACATCGATATACTATGGTATACTTATATATATATATTAATTATATATATATATATCTACTTATGGCTCAAGTTTGAGGAATGTGATGGATTCGAATCAAACATATGGAACTTTCCATCACCAGACTAGACAGGATCAGTCCGACAATCCCCTCAAACAAAAAAAAAAAAGGTCCTTCTTGCCGTGAATTATTGATCAACCATCCAATCTTGATATCCTATATATTTAAGCTGACAAATATCTAGATATTTCGGTAGCCAATTAGATCCAATTAGCCAATATACAGAGACTGCCTGTTTTTTTCACTCCATTGATGGTCCATGTCTTAAAGGTCATTCTACTGTATGGTACTATCATATTTGAAAAGTGAAATTAGTTTCCTGCATATTAGATATCATGGATATCATGCAAAATACCATCCCCCGAACTAACATAAACTCTGCCAACTACAGGGTAGGGGGTTGGAAGACCACTTTTGGCCAAAACTTGCCTATTCTCAGGGTCAAGCCGTTGGCCGGGCAAAAATCCACCAACGTAACAGAAAAAATCACATCAATTCACCATTAAAATCCATTAAATCACTGTACAATCAGCATAAAATCACCATAAATCACCATTAAATCCCATTAAATCACCATAAATCACCATGAATTCCTTCGCCAAAAACCTTCCGCCCGGCATGGCCGCCCGTCCCGAGTCCCCTTTCGTCCCCTTTCTTTCGTCCCCTTTCGTCCCCTTTCGTCCCCGCACCACGCCGATGAAGTGCTCGGAAATTCCCATGTTTTGGGTGATCCCCTCAGGGCGAACCATAGCAACGCAACGAACGAACTCGAACGTATCAACCAGAAATGGGGTGGTATAAACCATCAATGGGATGGGTTAAATTCTTGTTTTAACCACAATATATAGAATATGTTTACGGATTTTTTAATAGAATATATATATATACATATATATTATGGATAAATGATAACAATTCACCAACCTGAAATGTTGGGCCATTTTGGTATGATTTCCCCTAAATAAACCATGATTCCAGTGAGGGAGAACAGTAGGTCGTTATAATTTACCCAGATGTATCTAGTATCGTCTACTATTTTTTGTCTATGTTTGTATACATGTAGTCATATCCATGCATGTAGAGTCGCAGAGATGTAAAATACTGTAACAAAAATGTAAAATGTATCTATTTGCACTGACACATGAACAAATGTGCAAATGCCAACACTATACAACACTATGCAAGAACAAGGAATATCACAAATACAATTTGAAACAGTGCAGTGAAAGGCTAAGACACGCTGTAAAAATGTGTCAGAGATATGACATGATGATATACTTGTGGATAAGCCCCACGAATGTCTGTCCTTCGTTGGGGAAACACACCACCCGTGTTTGACAATGAATCCATGGGCAGCCAAGCTTGAGTATAACCAATCAAATTTCAAATGGGTTGTCCAACCATATTTGATAGGTATCTTATGGTTGACTCTGGTTGACCACTTGGTATACTTGGTCTACCCAATTACACTATGAAAACTGTCGCTTGGGAAATGCCATGTAGCAGCGAGCTAGGCACCCCATAAAAAGCAACCTCCCTATTACCTCCCTATCTATCATATCTGTCCTTCAAGCTTCTTTTTCCATGGCAAATATCGGCAAACTCAAAAGAATTCGTGCCCCTGTGCCCTTTCAGAACAGCAAATCACCTAACATCCGATTTCTTGAAAAACATCCGATGTTCTTCCTGGTTATACCAACAAATACCGGTATACCCAACCATAAAACATCCCTATTTTTGGATGGTTCATCGGCCAAAACGCCCTACGAACACCAAACAGGACCTTTTTGGCGAAGGCGCCTCAACACTATCGACGAGTCCTTCGGAGCAAATCGCCACCGTGAAGGTCACCACTGCCAACATCCTGGGCGTTCCGCCCGTGGTTTTTTTGGCGCCGGTAAAAAATGGCGCCCTGTTCACTGATCAAGCTGTAAATAGGATGATTTTCCCGTTGAAAATAGTGAAAAGCCACTGAAAATCAAAAAAATGATGGAATGTTCACTGATCAAAAAATCCACTATGTAAAAAGATGATTTTCCCCAGTGAAAATCCACATACATAGAGGTTTGAAAAATGGGAACATCATCTGTAAATGGTGGATTTTCGCTGATCAATAGGGATGTCCTGATCATTTTCACCAAGCTTGGGATATACCCAGCCATTTTGATGATACCAGAAAAAACCGGTACTTCATCAGTGAAAAATGGATGTGGGTGTCTCTAAGAAAAGTGTATACCCTAATAATGCTGTCAAAAAAAGAGAACATAGATTAACCACCGGATTTTCAGGTACCCTATTTTCGGACAAAGCCACATATGTAACGTGATGTACAGTAACCATCTTGAAATTCTCTGTTTGGAAGAATATTGAATATGTTGATACAAAACCGCGCTATATCTGCTGGTAAGGACCTTGGTTTCCTGCAGAGGTTCCCTTCAACCGGTCCGGAGGATATACTGTCGTGGGGCAGCCCTGAGTAGAGTTCGTGAAATGTGTTTAAATTGCTTGGGTCTGCCCAAACACAGCAATCCACAACCTACCAAATCAATCAAAGTAAAACAATACATATATATTATATTATGTTATATTATATTATAGTATGTTATATTATGTTATATTCTGTTATATTATATTATATTATGTTATATTGTGTTATATTTTATTATATTATATACATATATGTGAATGTATGAGTGCAATACATGTTCATGCACATGTATATACAGCATACGCATTTGTGTATATGCATGTGGATATGAATATGTGAGTCTATGTATGTACATGTATATGCTGTGAATAAATACATCTACATGCATATGTATCTTCAGTTGAAATTGAAATTATCTACACTGTTCATGAAGTACTTGTGCCAAAGTGCAACATGTGCAGTATAACAACTTACCTAATATGTATCTAAACTGCCCACATGATGCAAATATAAAGTATACATATGCGTGAGCGTAGCATCAACTGCTGCCGCAAGTTCACATGAACGTTAACATCCCACCCCACCCCCACCCCCACCCCCACCCCGCGTGTGCGTAGCATCAACTGCTGCCGCAAGTTCACATGAACCCACATCCACCCACCCCCCACCCCCCACCCCGCGTGTGCGTAGCATCAACTGCTGCCGCAAGTTCACATGAACGTTAACATCCCACCCCACCCCCACCCCCACCCCGCGTGTGCGTAGCAGCAACTGCTGCCGCAAGTTCACATGAACGTTAACATCCCACCCCACCCCACCCCCACCCCTCGTGTGCGTAGCATCAACTGCTGCCGCAAGTTCGCATGAACGTTAACATCTCACCCCACCCCCCACCCCACCCCCCACCCCGCGTGTGCGTAACTGCTGGCGCAGTTCCAGAAGCCAGGACAAGCCTATATATAGAATATTATATATATATATAACATTGTGTGTATATATAATTATATATAATTACATATATATATATATATCATTTATAAACACATGGATGTATGTGCATATGAGTCCGCACTATGCAGCCATGGCACATAGACGCCACCCCCGGGTGTATCGGTTCCTGGCAGCCACAAGGCGAGAATAAACAAAGGAATAAACACGTGTGGATGTTAACTGTCAACTATATCCCACTCACCATCAATTAAAACTTGATTGCAGTAATCAGATACTCATTCTTCCTTGGTAACGTCCCCAGAGTCAAATGCTTTGCCCAACACCTGTGGCTCTCGGGCCTAACATTTTCACACGCATGCATATGTATATTGATTATTTACACACAGTCGTATGTATATAGTGATGTTGAATATATATATATATAACTAGATACATATCTACATAATATCTATCTATAGAGTATGTATGTGTATATATATATATACAGATACACATTGTGTGCATAATTTAGAGAGAGAGAGACCTACCCGGAACCTCTTCGGACTCCACACCCTCTTCGGCTTGCGTCTGCGGACCGTGGCGAACTTTGGGAGCCCAGGAACCAGCCAGGGCGAAGGGGTCATAGGAAATATCATCCCACTACAGAATAAGTGAGTTATACAACCATAGTTGTAGAATGTTGTAGAGATTATATATATCTATATATATATGGCAGTGTGTCAAAACCTTGTACCCCTGGTGAACATCAAAATAGCTGGTAAATGGATGTTCATCCCCCTAAAAATGGTATTAATAGGTATTGATCCATACCCATATAATTACACATAATATCCCAACTTATGGAGGTTTTTACCATAATTATAGCCATGAATCATCCCGCACCCCCAAGTGCTAGCGGCGTTCCTATCCAAACACCATAGCGATTGACATCCCATGGCTTTGCCATCGTTTCTCCCATGGAGTCTCCATGCTCTCTCCCCAGAAAAATCCAGGGATTCCAGTCTGAAAATGAGGGATTGACTGATTGACCCATAAGCCATGACCATCTAATGGGGAAATGAAGATTAACATGGGTCATTAAATGTCCCAATTGAACATCACCCAACCATTAGGTATATGGTCTATAATGGCTACTATAAGGTGATGTCCAATATACCCAAAATGGGACAGTTACCAACCCCTGATAAACCCTGGAATTTAGGGGATCCCCTTTGACAAACCAATACCATCCAATAACAATGTCAAAGTCGATGTTTCTAGAAAGTTCATCCACTGAATGTTTCAGTGTCTGATTTCCACCCAAACATACCTAGCGTTTCCACCCGGCATCTTTCATCGCAAGGGGCCACGCACCTCGAAATAGTCCTTGTGAGTTCCAAGCTGAAAAATGAGGTACAAACCTTGGTCCAACCAGCTGCTGGTGCTGCTGGGGGTTGCTCCTACAGCATCCCGCTTGTTTCATATTACACCCATCATCACCCATCCACATGATTTATTGACAAAACTAATTCCAGGGCCATTGCTGGAAATGGTTTCCCATGGCTTCCCCATCAGGATTCTGTAAGATCTTTATTGAATCCCAATCAAGGGATTTCCATGAGGCCTCTCATGACCGTGGTGCCGCAGAGGACCCCAGCCATAAAGCACTGCCAATATAATGGCTGCACCTGCACGAAATGGCAGGCTTGTTCTGTCTCCGGGGCGTGCTAGGAATGTAAACAAGCATGGGACAAGAGGACAATGAACAAAAAATATTCAAGACCAGCACCCAAGCAGCAACGATACACATGGAAAAAACCACAAAAGGTTTGCTCTTGCCGGTGGTTCATCCACCACCCGCCTTGAAAACGAAAGTCTTCGGATCGCATCAATCCCAACTAAGGGTTACATAAAGACACTTGCATCCTCCAGCTACTTTGATCTTTATTTCTCGTCTTTTCCTTCAATGGGTTAGTTTCCAAAAGATCTACAATCTACAATATTTCGAAGCATAAGAGTCAGGATCACGATTCCCATCTTTTGGAGATTTGATGAATTGGAACATGTCTGGAAAGACCGTAGACTTCAATTCGATTCACCCCATCTCTGTCAAAAACCTGGGAAAGACCGCCCACCTCGCGACATTGCTAGGGACACACCCTCTTCATCTAGGCGGAGATGGTGGATGAACCGTGTGGTAAAACATGGTAAAACACCCAACAATGGGAAGTTCATAATTTCTGTCACGTGAGTGCTAAACCATCACCAAGTTTACCATTTTTTTTATGGGTGGATATGGGTATAAACCATTCACATATGGGTGATTTTATGGCCATCGTCTTGTGCACTTGGAGCTGGGTACCCTCCGGTCATCATGGATAGCTGGAAGATCCACCATTGATTAAGATATTTTCCCATTGAAACCTCCATTGATATTAATAGTTTTTTTTTTTTCGGGGATGTCCAAGTCATTCCAAGTCACTGCAGAAATCTTTCTGGAAGACCCTTCATCTTCAATCATGTTCACCCTTTTTGGCCTTTTTGGTGCTTAGGTCGTTGTTGCGTTCCCTGAGTTCCCCCGGCCGGTGACGAGCCCAACCAAGGATGGAATAACCATGGCAAGGACCTCAGGACTTGCCAAAGCTCACTGGATTTTTTCCGGCTTTTCTGGTTACCCTCCATACATTTAAAATATTTTTAAATGAACAGTTTGCGAACTGGAAAATCATAAAATCACCATGTTTCATAGGCTATTCATAGGTAAATCATCGGCCTCAAATTTCCCTTTTTGGTCAATGTTCGCTCTGTGACACCAGAGGGATCAAATCTGGGGATTGGCCAATTGACTAAGGGCCCAAAATTCTCCATGAATTTTGAACAGGGAAATCCCCAAGGCGAAAAAACCATGGAAAAAAGCCATAGAAAAAGCCATGGTTTCCTGGTTCTTCCTCCATCTCTCCATATCTCTCCATCTCTCCAGGTCCCCAGGTCCCTTGGCCGAGAGTAACAGGAGATTCGACCTGCGGTGGACCAGTGATCATCTGGGCATGCTATATGTGTACCGACATTTTACCAGAAAAAGCCACTCAAATGTCGGTCCATATCTGGATGTACCCTGGATCGATAGACTGATGGAAGTGAATGAAAATGACGGTTTTTGCCATCTCACACAGGGTGTTCTTTATACTTTGCTGACTGAAACCAATACACCAACCAGTCTGAGACCTTTGATGGAATCTTCAAATGGATTAATTAACAGGCCATTTCCAAGAGCAGAGCCATCCTCGCGCCTCCGTTGTTCCGGATTTGGGGCAGCATGATACAGTGAACCTTTTGCTTTTACTTAGCAATATTGCATTGAAATCACCAATCCGTGCTTCTTTGGGGTCGACTTGCACCACGGCTCAAAGATGACTGAGATATACTGAGATGATCGGCCACGAAACTGGGCTATCCAAACTGCACACGGGCGCCGTCCGCATTGTACTTCTGCTTGTGGAACTTTAGGCCACCTGGTTGTGGATTTTTGTGACCCCCAGTGAAAAATGGGCGAAGTTGGACACCTGGAAATGATAGGGAAAACATGACCCATACCATCCTCGAAACACAGGTTGCTAATATATAGACCAAAATTTGTGTTTGGCCCCCAAAAAATGGTGGAATACCATGTTTGGTGTTGGGCTTCAAAAGAGTGGTACAAATCCTAAGGAGGAAAAGACGCGTCGAGGAGAGGGATGGAATCACAAGGAATCGTACTGTGATTCCCTGAAATTTGACTCAAGAATCCACCTACACATCTCTCTGTGCTGCAAAGGGTGACCTGGATTCTGGCCGCAATTACGAGACCCAGGGAGTTACATCCAGGAGGTCTGTGTCTCAAAGCTGGATTTCCAACATCAAAAATTGAGAAAAAGTGATCAAAGACCCAAAAATGCCCCCAAATCTCTGGGTCCAAATGGTAAGTTTTGAAATTTTGACCCCTTCCCACCAGTCATCACCAGTCTCAGCCGTCCCTGGGCGTCAGTGCCGAAGAAGAAGCACATGCCAAGGACCTTGGGCTCAGGGCTGTGCTGTCATCAAACATGGCAATCAGAAATCCCCGAACTAAATAGAGATTATAGCCGCTATTATAGCCATTTATGGGAAAATCATGGGGGATTTTCCATGGCCATCTTTGATGAGAGGGTATTGTTGATGACAAAGAATTGGATGAGATTGGCAGGTGAAGCAACAAAAATGTGCCTCCTTTTGAAGGAACATTGACATAGAAAAACTCCACCATGATGCGTGGTCCATTTTGGGAGCAGCCTGTGTTTCCGTTGTCCAATTGCGATCTCGCAATCGGAGCTTGACATTTTCTGAAAGGTAGCCGGGATCTGCGTCAATCTAGAATGTGTCTATATATAGACCAGTATATATATATATATATATATCATGTGTCTCTCTGTATGTATATATATATTATATTATGTGACTATACAGTATATAGATATTATTATTATATATATATATATTATATTATAGAGACCATATTGCGAGCTGTTGAAGCCCCTTTTTCAACAATTGGTGACCGGTTGGTGTCCCAGGTTACATGGGCATCCGGGCCAACAGCAGGTTGCTCAGGACACTTCCCAGCAAACTACCCTGTACCACCGTCACCAAGCCCTGGCACGTGGAAAAACAATGCCATGAACCATCAATTTGGGAATGGGTTATACCACCTATAAAAATGGTGAAAAATTGGGGATGGTTTATATTTTTCACCAACATTCATGTGTTTTTTCTGCAAAGGGGCCCTACATCCAATTCTGGAGTCGTGTCTTGCCCGTCATTCCCCACATATCCAATGGTCCCATCCTGGCCCCTGGCACCTTCCGAAGTGCGAAGGCACTCAGAAGCATCTCAACGGCATTGCCTTTTCCACAACAGCATGACAAGAGAAAATAGTGGATACCCACAAACAGCCATTTGAGTGGGGAACATCATGATAATCCGTTGGCATTGGGAGTATCCTATTTTCAGCCAAACCTAGAATGGCTTGAGAAATGGAAGACCAAGTAAACACGAAACATCAACAAATTGGTGATGTTGAGGACAACCATGCAACGTCTGCCGATTTTGGGGTACAGCAAAAGTTTGGTGACTTTGAGGCCAGCGGCAAAAAAAGGTTTGGGTGACTTGGCGGTACGCAATTTTGACCCATCTTCCTTTCAACTGGACACTAGAATCCTTGATCAGAACAGGTTCCCAACTGACATCGCCAAAAGAAGTGCCGTTCAAAAGCAAAGTTGGTGTCATAATTCAATCTGATTCCCTCGATAGTTGATGATATTTTTCAGAGACTTCAGCAGGTTATTTTCTGCCCTGGGTAGAACTTTCTTTAGGGTAGAAACCCTGCATCACTCCGACAAATATACTGTAAAACATCATAAATCTATGATATGATACAACTGCACACAAATCTGCATAGCATCCGGATAGATCAAAAAAAACTCCAACTAGGGTAATTAGTTCGACCATTTGGAAATCAAAAAAATCTCCTAAAATCTCCAACCATGATCCATCTGAATAGTTCGACCATTTGGAAATTTCGGGAAAATTACCCCAGCGTCACAGCGTCATGACTCTCCGAGATGCCAAAGGATGCATTGAGAAGCCCACCCAAGGTCTCCTAAGCTCGGCCATCGAAAATAGCTGGTGAAAATTGGTGAACATCTCAAGAGAATCCATGCAATGCCATGTTAGTAAAGTAATGTCATAAACTGCCATAAACCACCCACATAAATTGATGGTTATACATGGTTATACCATGTTTTACCGTGCATACCAGCCGTTTGAATGGTAAATTTGGGGGATGGTTTACTATTGCTTTACTAACATAATGAACGCTTTAAGCTATGAGCAAGAAAAAGAGTTCCCTGTTTCCCATGACCAACCAGCAGCAGGCATAAGAGGAACCTTTTGAATGAGAAAAGCTATGGTATTGATGGCCTATTTAGTTGGATGATTTATTATTTAATGGTGATTTTCCATAGCAAACTATTAAATTACCAGAAAGTATGATAAATTATGGGAATTTGGCACATCCCATTTTCAGAGACTTTGCATATGTTAAATGACATGATGTCTTTCATCTTCACTCTTGGAAGTGCTCGCCACCTCAAATGTTCCAACTGGGTGAAAATCACCTCATGTCACTCATGAATAATCCATGTTGATCCTGTCAGTTGCATGAGGAAATCGTGCAATTTTCACGCAGTGCGAAGTGACCCTAAAATGACGGGCTGTTCACTCACTTTCATGCCAAAATCACAGGGGTTTTCCCGCATGTATCACGTTTTTTTGTTGACACCATTAGACTCTCATTGAAGTGTGAAATCAATCGCTGATGATGCTCCCCAAAAAAAATGTGATCATGGATGCATGGTTTGTTATGTTACATGTTGATGTTCATGATATTTTTTCGGTCTGATCAATAGTGAGCATCTTGAGCCTTTCCCGTGTGAGCCATCTAATGACGCACAGGGCATGGAGGCATGATCAACCAGTTTTGAAAGTACTTTGTGAAAAGGCCTTGGGAACGAGCACTGTGCAAAGGTGCCAGTTAAACGAGAACTGAGAAGTTCAGGGTATCGTAAAGTTGGCGTGGAAGCTTAAACATGGGTCTCGAAGAATTTGTTACTTTGTACTGGGTATGGCCCTCGATCAGTTCCATGTTAAATTATCTTATATTTAGAGGGGTAGCCTCTGGTACTCAGCTCCATGGTTTGCGTTTGAAAATCCCCCATGAACTTCGATTATTTTCCAATATAGAGATGGCCAAAAAAAGTTGGAAAATGTTTGATGACACCAGAGGGTACATCGATTTTTTCAATTCTTGGTTAGTTGGTTAGTGATATATCCCTTCTGAATATCCCCATGAATATCCAGTTATTAATGAACACTAGAGGATCTCCAGGGCGCCCTGCACCAACGCTGTCGGCCAGCTCCTCAGTTATGGAACCTGGCCGGGACGTCGAAATTCCCGACGATATGGCTTATTTCTGGCTTTATTTTGTGACCCATGACCATTGGATACAATTGGTTTTCTATTTAAGTATGGTTTATCTCCAATAAACCAATAGAACCCCTATACTAACCATGCAACAGGAGAGTTTGCAATGGTTTAAACTTCATTTTAGGATGTGAAACCATCCATTTTGGGGGAGGGGGACGATAATTTGCTCAGCCCCGTTCACGTGGTCCATTTCCACTCCATGAAACCATATTGAGGTCGCCAAAATCCAAGGATGGAAGGTAGAGAATATCTGAAACCAGGCATATACTATATCATGATGTTGTATTGTATATGATTACTGTATATTAATATTATTTAGTATGAGTGTAGCGATATGATTCTGTAGAACAAAGTCTTCCCATCTTGAGATACATTTTTCAGGTCCCTCCAAGACCACATTGGAGGCCCAATCCCTGGGATGAATGATGGCAATTGGTCCAGCCTTTGCCCATGTTAGGTTCTCATCCCATCCTCCTAATATTAAACACCCCCAAGAAATCACCTATTTTGGAATTTGCACCTATTTTGGACCATAGAATGGGGGGTGCAACTAATATTGACTCGATGGGAAATTAGTAGGATATTCTATGATGGGGATATGATATAATCTATTTCATTAATAGTTGGTAAACTATATTTGATTATATCCCCATCATATAGTTAATGATATGTGTATATGTATAGTTGGATTCTTAATCAACTGCATCTATTCAGCTATGTGTATACATATGTACATACATATTCATGCAATATCAATGGGTTATCAGAATTAATAACATATATATATATATCAATGGGATATTATTATGCTGATTTCTTATCAACTGTGATCAAGAATTCAGATCTCTTTTTATTATCTAATATAAATCAAATACTAGTTACTATTGATAGATATAATCTAGTCAACTACACTTTATAAATTTTCTCAACTCCTCAACCATCTCCACTCCACCGGGTGCCTAGAATTTTGGCCATCGGCAGAATGGCCAGAAAGTTCAGAGAGAAATTCGCCTGCAAAGTGCCAAAAACCGGCATGGCTATCTCGGTAGACCGTAATCAAAGGAGTTAGTGCTTGGGTGGAGTTATCATGGTTAACAATGGTTAATAGTGGTTGATAATGATAAATACTGGTTAACAATGATTGATAATGCTTAATAATGCTTAATAATGGCTAATAATTGGAAATTATTAATAACGGTAAATCATGGTTAACACTGGTTCATAATGATTAATAAGTTAATATATAACAATGGTTGATAATGGGTAATAATGGTCAACAATGGTTGATAATGGTTAATAATGGTTCACAATGGTTAATAATGGTTAACAATGTAATAATGGTTAATAATGGTTAAGACTAGTTCATAATGGTTAATCATGGTTAATCATGAGTATATAACCGACAATAGGAGATAAAGAATGGACAACTGGAAAAATGTGGTCAAGCCCAATGCCATAAACAACTGCCAATATTACCAATTGGGGATGGTAAAACCAACCATTTATGGTGTTTTCGGGGATGGGTTATTATTGGGTTTACCACAGTGTACAATTATATATATATATATATACGCGTGTGTGATACATATTATATATACATATATATGTATGTCATGTGATATATGTACTCTGATTAAATGACCACAAAATGTTGTGGCATGTACTATGTCATATTAGATACATGGTTTATTACATGGCAAACAAGATAGAGTATGCTGCATGATATTTGGTGTATTATGTGCAGCAACAATAAGCCGTTTGATATGTGACGTATTATACGATAATTGATTCGATATTATGATATATTATTTATATATATATATATTATACATATGATCTGATACCTGGTCTGTTATTCGGTAATGATATGCTTGCTCTATAAAATACAGAATATGATAGTCGATATCTCATATGCTGCGTGGTGCACTCTACATTTCATGGATCATATGCATAATATCAACTTCAATATATGATGTGTTGTGTGATGTTCGGCATGTAATGTATCACATGATATGTAATGTAAATTGTATATGATATAATGATATCATGTATGATATACCATCCACATATGTGTATTATATGTATATATCGTGCCATATTTGATACATGATGCATCGTATGATGAGTGATATACATATATATATACATAGTGATGTACATGTATATATATATATAGATAACTATATATAACTATATATATAACTATATATATATGTGTGAGTGCGCATCATAGCATATGATATCATATCATGGTTGATATAATATATGATAGAACATATTCCTCTATCAAAATGGCTTAAACAGCCCCTCCAAAGCAACCATTCGCCAGCTGGCCAACCGAGCTTTCATTGGTTTCAGCCACTTGAAGGGACTTGTTTGAAAATAGGGAACCCAGAATCCATGGGTTGATCATCGTATTCCGCCTAAATAGTCTTGATATTTGGAGGGTATACCGTATACCCGTATAACATCCGTATAGCCCATTTTCAGACACCCAAAGCTTAGGCTTGACACAACCCAAACCCTCTTTTTCTTGGCAGCTGTCAAATTGCTTCGACGCTTCGATGCTTCGAACATCGTTGGACCAAATTTGGGATCGGATCCGAAACTCATCGGTCCCAGTGTTCCACATGTGCACCACTTTCCCATGATCTTCCGATCCATGGTTACATGATTTCTTACTTTTCCACATCCTCTCCCTCCCCATCTCCTGTTCGCAAGTTTGAACCAATCCCAAATGACTATCTTCCATGCTTTGGTACACAACTGTGCGCCGGCACATTGGCGCAGTCTCACAGGTGCAATGGAAGTAGTAGTCTGGAATCCAGGAAGTAAGTCGTAGCAAGAACCACCATCAAACCATCCTCATAGCCTACTACAAACATAGATTTTGGGCAGCCAAAAAGTTAAGTCTTAACTGGAGGTGTATGACATATATTGACCTGTTTTGCCAAAGAAAACAACCCTTTTCCACCTTGCCAAAGTTTACCCTCCACGTCTCCAATGGATCATCATTTCTGGTCCTAGCGGCTCTAACAGTTGTCAGCTCAGCATCCGCATCAGGTCCAGGTCCTCATACAGAAAGTCCTCCTCGCGAATTGGCGAATGTTTGGACAAGACAAGAGATCCATGAGAATCGCAAAGTAAATGGAGTGCAAATCACGAATGTGTCTTGGAAACCCACTAGTTCTTGAACATAATCATATAATTAAGCTCATTAGTTAGTTAGCTATTGTTGATGCTATCCGTTATGAACCGTTATGCATATCATTGGTGTAAATTAACAAATGTATATGTAGTCCCATGAAAACGGACTAGTTGTAGTTGTAGATCATGTCTTGGGGTTCAAATGGATTTACCATTTTAATTTACTGGAGGCTAAATTATCAGAGCAGCTCCCTTCACGCCCACGCACCTCTCGGGTAGCTGAGCAACGAGCGACATCAAATACCGTTGGAATCAAGGAAGACACCAAGTAAACTTAGAGGGGGAAATCGTATGGGAAGAGCCGCCCTCAAGAGCATGGGTGAGAACCACATGAAACAGTAAATGAATGAGTAGATAAATGATAGAATGAATCTGAATATTAGATGCGCAAATCATTCAAAAACACAGATAGTGAATGATTTAGGAGCCCAGAGAACTACGACTCGTACATGATGAATGATAACTGAATTTGCGCATAAATCACGTATCTACAGGTACACAGAGATGGAGACCGGCACAGATTGTAGAAAGAACATTATATAAAGTTGTTCTAGAAAAAACCTAAGCAACCTCTATGTGGGTTTGTCTGAGAATAAGTTACCCTAAAGAATCCACTGGTTAATCATCGTTTTCCCATATTTCCCAATAAAAAGTAGACGACGGATGGCCCGAGAGCGTAGAGGAGCAGGGTCTTCTGTTGTTAGTATTGAGACACTATATTACAAGACAATATATTAAAGATCTATTACAGGCAGGCGAGAAGAGTAGTATCAAGACAATATTTTACAAGTACAAGACAATAGTTTGCATCGTATCCTTCGTATAGTTTTTCACACACAGAAGCTTTTACACACAGACGCTTTTGCACACAGACGCTTTTACACACAGAAGCTTTTACACACAGAAGTTTTTACACACAGAAGCTTTTACACACAGAAGCTTTTACACACAGACACTTTTGCACACAGAGACTTTTACACACAGAGACTTTTACACACAGACGCTTTTACACACAAGCACTTTTACACAAACAGACGCTTTTACAAAGAGACACTGTTACACACAGAGACTTTTACACGCAGACACTCTTACACACAGAGACTTTTACACGCAGACGCTTTTACACAAAGACACTTTTACACACAGAGACTTTTACACACAGACGCTTTTACACACAGACACTTTTACACACAGACGCTTTTACACACAAACACTTTCACACACAGAGACTTTTACACACAGAAGCTTTTACACTCAGTTTTTGGCGATCGAACCTCATTTCGTGCGAAAGGGTTGCGATCGGACCCGAGAAATCGCAATTTAACCTCAGTTTTTGGCGGTCGAACCTCGTTTCGTGCGAAAGGGTTGCGTTTCGTGCCGTCTCGTTGGCACTGCCCCGCGCCTTCAAGAGAGAAATAGAAAAGAAGGAGAGAGCAAGAGGGCAAGAGAGCCAGAGGGCAAGAGAGCAAGAGGGCCAGAGGGCAAGAGAGCAAGAGAGCAAGAGGGCAAGAGAGAATGTGAAGATATGAAGGTGTGAAGACGTGAAGATGAGAAGATGTGAAGATGTGAAGATGAGAAGACGTGAAGATGAGAAGATGTGAAGATGTGAAGATGAGAAGATGTGAAGATGAGAAGATGAGCAGATGTGAAGATGAGAAGATGTGAAGATAAGAAGATGAGCAGACGTAAAGATGAGAAGATGTGAAGATGAGAAGATGAGAAGATGTGAAGATGAGAATATGTGAAGATGTGATGATGAGAAGATGAGACGATTTGAAGATGTGAAGATGAGAAGATGAGAAAATGAGAAGATGCGAAGATGTGAAGATGTGAAGATGTGATGTGAAGATGAGATGAGAAGATGTGAAGATGAGGATGTGAAGATGTGAGGATGAGAAGATGTGAAGATTTGAAGGTTTGAAGATGTTATGTGAAGATATGAAGATGTGAAAATGTTTGACAAACCCTCACTATTAGAAGAACCCTTCGCTCAGACGCTCTCAAAGGCCATAATTGGGGGTGTCCTCCGTTTCCAGGCACACCCTCTGTGCAGGTGAGCAGATTGGACTGATATTGGCCGTAGCCCAACGATTTAGTTATTTGATGGTGAGTCCATTTACCCCTCATCGGAGTTTGGGAACTCACCACACTGAAGGTCCCGAACAGCCGTGCCTTCACTCGTTCCAGATGTTTGCCTTTGGCCTTCAAAGGCATTTGGCATGGCAGCTGGGGGGCGCTGGGGTGGAGCCTGTCGAAACCCTGTGACGTAAGGCAGCCAACCCAAAAAAGGGATAGTCATGGCTACTAAATCGGTGCACCCCAATCAAATGGCCAAAAGGTTAACATCCGTCAAGGAGCTGACATTGAAATTAAACCCCTGCATGGGGCGTATGTGCTGTCAAAAAAAAACGTCCTTGAGCAATGTGGTGGGGTAAGAACGACAATGTTCAAGAGATCAATCAGCATGCATTGATGATAAAGAGTCCACGATCAAATCATGTCAGAACTTCAAAAAGTATCAAGGAATCGTCTGGGACAAATTGGCCTTTCAAACTGACCATGAAATCAGGGAAGTCTAGGCGTACCGGTACTACTCGTAGCCCCCAAAGGACTCCAAAATTCACCCTCAACATTTTTCTTGGGGGGTGTTAACCCAAATCAACCCCAACAATCAGGGGCGAAGCCCCATTGTTGACTGAGTTACCATTGTGGTGGTACCCTAAAAACCTGCTCAAACTTCTATGACTTTAAGATGAAGATGGAAAGTCAAAAAAGTGAGTACCCTGCAAAAGGTGAGGCCAGTTGGTGGTACCCATCATATCCTCCCCCATCCCACCCATCAACTCGGTTAACTCAAGTTGACGCCAAGTGGCCATGGAGGCTGTCAAGTCTTGGTCACTACAAAGGCTGGCAAAGGGCTGGGCAGGTGTTCAGAAAGTGGTTCATGTGGTGGCTTCTCTGGCCGCAGAAAACTCCTAGATGTGCATCTAGGTAAAACAATCAAAATATATCAAAACTATTTATGTTACTTCAAGCAGTCCCCCACCCTGACAACTATTCTCATACCATCTCGAAGCATCTCGAGGCAAATACTGGATACAAAATCTGACGTTCTTTCTGGCATATACTTTGACATTCTTTCAGGCATTCCATCTGGCATCTATTCTGACATACTTTCTGAATCTTTCTGGCATATAAGCTTTGCTGACATTCTTTCTGGCATTCTATTTGGCATTTATTCTGACATTCTTTTTGTTCCCACTGAGATCTGGCGCTCGCGGTTGAGGCCCGGCAGTGCCCACTGACATCTGGAGCTCGCCGTTGAGGTCCGGCAGTGCCCACTGAGATGGAGCTCGCAGTTGAGGTCCGGCAGTGCCCACTGACATCTGGAGCTGGCGGATGAGGTCCGGCAGTGCCCACTGACATCTGGAGCTCGCGGATGAGGCCCGGCAGTGCCCACTGAGATCTCGAGTTCGCTGCTGGTAGGAGGAGGAAGAAGGAAGGAGGAAGTAACTCTGATAAATCTGGAGACCCTCACCTGTCAGGTGGGGAACAAAATAAAACCTGGTGTTGGATGGATGTCATACTATTAATGTGCACATTCAATGTGCGTGTGTGTGTGTATACTGCGTACGCTACATATATGTATGTATCTACAGTATTTTTTCTTTAGCAATAGTACCGCACAAGGTGGCGGAAGTTTCAAAGATAGGAAACTATAGGAGAGGTGAGTTGTTGTGATGCATGGATGGCAGAGCGAATCCATTGATGGACCGAAAGGTGGATGTGATTTCTGGCGTGGTTGCAGTAGTCACCTCACCCACAACTGCAGGATGCAGTGTCTTGTAGCGAAGCGCAATGTCATTGTCGTTGTAGTGGCAGTTGTAGCTGCAGTGTAGTGGTAGTTAAAGCTGTAGCTGCAGTCGTAGTTGTAGTTGAAGTCTAGTCTGGTGTAGTGTAGTGCAGTGGTAGTTGTAGTTGTAGCTGCAGCTGTAGTTGCAGTTGTAGTGTTGTTGTTGTTGTTGTTGTCGTTGTCGTTGTCGTTGTCGTTGTCGTTGTCGTTGTCGTTGTCGTTGTCGTTGTCGTTGTCGTTGTCGTTGTCGTTGTCGTTGTCGTTGTCGTTGTTGTTGTTGTTGCTGTTGTTGTTGTTGTTGTTGTGGTTGTGGTTGTGGTTGTGGCTGTTGTTGCTGTAGTTGCTGTAGTTGCTGTAGTTGCTGTAGTTGCAGTTGTAGCTGAAGCGTAGTTGAAGTTGTAGCTGTAGTTGTTGTAGTTGAAGCATAGTTGAAGCGTAGTTGACGCGTAGTTGACGCGTAGTTGAAGCGTAGTTGAAGCGTAGTTGAAGCGTAGTTGAAGCGTAATTGAAGAGCAGTTGAAGTTGTAGTTGAAGTTGTAGCGTAGCTGAAGTGTAGTTGAAGTTGAAGTTGTAGTTGTAGTGTAGTTGAAGTGTAGTTCAAGTTGTAGTTGTGTCGTAGTTGTAGTTGTAGTTGTTGCTGCTGCAGTTGTAGTTGTTTTTGGAATTGTAGTTGTAGCTGTAGTGTAGTGTAATTAGTGTAGATCACTGCTGTGCAATGTTGTGTAGTGTAGTTGCAGTTGTAGTTGTAGTTGTAGTTGTAGTCTAGTGTAGTGTAATGCAATGCAATTAATTAGTGTAGTGTAGTGTGGTGCAATGCAATTAGTGTAGTGTAGTGTAGTGTAATGCAGTGTAGTGTACTGTAATTAGTGTAATTAGTGTAATTAGTGTAATTAGTGTAGTGTAGTGTAATTAGTGTACTGTAGCGTAGCGTATTTGTTTTTGCATTCGTAGTTGTAGCGTAGTGTGGTATTGTAGTTGCAGCTGCAGTTGCAGTTGTAGTTGTCTACCTATCTATCTATCTATCTATCTATGTATCTATCTGTCTTTCTGCAAGTTTGAAAACGAAGCAATTCTGCGAGACGTTCTCATTTTTTGAACTTGACGGCTTCAAAAATGAAGCAATTCTGCGAGACTTCCTTCCATTTTCGAAGTTGACAACATCAAAAACGAAGCAATTCTGCGAGACTTCCTTCAAAAATGGAAAGCTGAGTGCAGAGCTGACGGCCTCGTACCAATGCGTCTTGCTTTTTTCCACTCCATCTGTGTAAAGTGCTGCGCCTGCCACGCAAAAGTGATGCCAGGTCATACGAATTGCTGCACCTGTCACGCAAAATCATCTTAGCAAACCTGAAGATCTGATGCTCCAAAATGCAACCCCTCTCAGGAAATCAGCGCCCTGACCTCCTAACATCTCTGATGAACATGTCTTTTGTACTGCGCCTGCCACGCAAAATGCATCTTTCCAGATCCTCTTAAAATGTCCCACGCCTGCCATCGTTTTTGGACATGCTACAAACCCTCACGTTTTGCTCACTTTTGGCAAGGTGCAGAATCCCTTGAGCCTGCCACGCAAAACCACATCTGAATCTTCAAAAGTGGTTCAAGCATGTGGTGCTTTTAACATTTTGACTTGGAAATGTGCTTCGCGCCACAATCGCGTACACTTTTTGAACATCTCAACTTCCAAAAGTGCTCCGAGGCTAACGTGCTTTGTGCATTTTGACTTCGGAATGTGCTTCGCGCCACAACGGCATGCGCTTTTTCGACATCTCAACTTCCAAAAGTGCTCCGAACCCATCAGTTTTTCACACTTTTGACTTCCAAACGTGCTTCGCGCCACAGCGGCGTGCACCTTTTCGACATCTGAACTTCCAAAGTGCTCTGAACGTGAGGTGCTTTTAGCTTTTTCACTTGCAAATGTGCTTCGCGCCACAACGGCGTGCAACTGTTCATCTCTCATCTGACCACATGGCTCCGTACCCGCCGCTTTAGCGAGCCTACTTCTCGACCCTCTGGAGCCACAAATCGTTGGCAAAACACAGTGTTTCGCCACCTGCATCTTCTTTCTTCTCACTCTTTCTCTTCTCTGATCTTCTCTCTTCGGCTCTTCTCCTCTCTGACTCTTCCCACCTCTGCTTTTCCATCTGTCCATATTGTCGGAAGTTTGACTTCTAAACTTCCTGCGATCATATGTATGTGTATATGAGGTCATCTTTTAAAATTATACATATAAAATAAATTTTCATGCACCCTGGATTCTATTGGTATCTGCTGGGGCCTCAAAAAAAGGAATACACTCCGACGAGCACTGCGCCTGCCTCGATAATTTGTTCTGCAGCTCATCGGCAGTGCAGTTGTCAAAGATCCTTGCCATGTCGGGATAGCAATCCTCAGTGGTTTACCACTGGCGCGACACATTGAAGATTTTGACACGCTAAAAAAAGTGATTTCACCAACACAACTGATGATTTACCTACCCAAAATGGCAAATGTTAACCATCGAACATGGGATTTAGCCATATAGTAGAAATGGATAGAAATGGCAAGTCCAACTGTTGAATGGGCATCAAAGTACTTGGCGAAAATGGAGGATGAACATATCTTTAAACTGTTCAAGTTGGACCCTTGATGTAGGGGCAGGGAGCCATTGATGATTCAAAGTGATTCAAACACGTAGCTTCATCCTTCATGGCAGCAAACCTACTTACCTGACTCGCAATCCATCTACGCCATTGCCGGTGCTTCAAGGATTCTCGTATGGATCAAAGTTCAAAGTGCGCAAGCTCCATTTCTATGGAAATGATGAAATGATGTTGGATTCTGAAGTTATTCACTCAGTGTTCTTGAAGTCTGCTGTCACCCTACAGGAAGATCCCTGGCGATCTTCGCCGCGTGAGTCTGACAGGCGACATCACTGCATAAGATTTGCGTGTCCTGAGAGTCAACTTTGTGCCGCGAGAGACTGGCATGAATGACCACGAGATCTGCACCATCTGCCAATATAAGTGACTGGATTGGTTCCATCTGTTTTCACTGGTGATTGTATCATTTGAGGTAAGATTACATGGCTAGGTTTCAAATCCGTGATTCAAGTGGGAAACCCTGGCTAGACACCATCAACCTACCATGACTCGGGATGGTAAACGTAGCACCCATCGTCAGCCATGGTGATGACTTGGGGATGACCCAGTGACTAGCTGCAGCCCGGGAAAGGTCGGTCCTTGGGGTTTTGGTTCTTCAGGATCTCCGTCACGATGCGAATATGTGGTGGACAGGTGGAAGAGGTCTTCAAATGAGCATTCCTCATGTCAACAGATCTGGGGCTCACTCATAATCTTGGTTACCCCTTCAAAATCTAGTGATTGATCATAATCTATGTGGTATATCGGTATATCATATATCGTAATCTAGTGCTTTATATTGGTTTATCAAAATGCTAGTTACTTTACCAAAAAAAACATTCTGTTTGAGGCTCACAGGGAGTGTAATTCTTGAATCATCATTCTCACATATAGTCATATAGCTGCTACTAGCAATCCGAATAAGATTGACATGTAAGCTCCTCCTAAATGGTGGAAAATTGTGGTTCCTTCTTTTTGGACTTGCTATGAGCTATCTTTGGATTGATGGATGTGTATGGATTGATTGATCGCATGATTGACATAAGTTCATCCATGCCGTATTGCGCTTCATCGTTTGTTCTCGCATCACGTCATTTCAACTTCATATCTATGTCTCTGAATTTCGAGATTCTTCACCATCATCAGTCAATCCTACTTTGCAGCAAACAATATGCTCGTTTCCTAGACGAATTCGTCCTCCAGCTTCAGCAAACATCAGTGGCATGTTCACCAAGGCAATCCCCTTCCATGCATAGATCCAGTTGTAAACCTATGTTTTCTTGTGGGCCAAATTTGCTTTTGGGGCTAGGGTATTACTGGCATTGGATCTATTGCTAATAGTAGCACCAATACTAATTGGATCTATGAATCCTAAGACCAATGGTAGACTAATGCGATTCCCATGTCGTTGGCGATGCAAAAGGGGGGTTTTGACGTGTTCCAGACCATTCCAGACCCATGGCCAGTGACGCCAAAGGTCACACAGGTGTCTTGTTGCCTCATCTTTCGTAGCACCGTCGCCGTCGTCTCCGGGTGAGCACACAGCACTTTGAAGGTCCTGCATGCTGAGATGGGAGAGGAAACCGGGTCACAGCACTACCAAAAACAGAAATAACTGCTTACACGGTGTACATAAGAAGATTTGGAACTATAGTAATCGATAGTAATTAATCGTATATAGATTAACACAATGCATCAGAATATGTATTATAATCATATAATATAATATATGTTTTACCGTACAGTGGCAAGTAATATGACATCCTGCGGATATTTAAAAAAAAAAAAAACATAAAAACTATGGCTATGCTTGTTGGAGCAAAGGACCATGCGGGGTGGGGTGACCATCTTTGTATGGATGCTTTACGACTACAAACACCCAAAAGCAGAACTGGGCCGATCCAACAAGACCGTTATCATGGATGTAATATGGGGATGTATATAATCATATCCAATTGCACCCAGACTTCGGAATTGTAATGTGGGGATAATATGGAGATGTAATATGGGGATGTCATCTTAATAATGTTAGGATGTAATTTTTGAATCCCCATGTCTGGTCAGAATCCGGATGAAACCGAAAGGGCATTGTCGCATTGTCTGCGACACGTTCGTGCAGGTGTCCTTGCAAAGTTGTCAACTCCACACTCCACACTCAGTGGAAGAAGTTCCTGCCGTGTCACCACACAGGAACTGTGTGCTCGCGAAAGGGTTTTCCATGGTTTTCCAATGAACCCATCAGCCAAAACACAAAGCGCATTGTTGTCGACTCTTCTGCGCGGCAGCAGGTGGGGATAGATCATATACATGCCATATATATATATATATTACTATATATCCATATATCATCATAGATCATCATATATCTAGAAAAACGGAAATCGACAACTTTGATGAACTTGGATCTAAAATCCACTTTGGTACTATGTGTATATATATATCTACAACAATCGTTGGTAAGGTGTACTCTTGCTCCTAAATCCACTTTGGTGACTCCTTCTGGCATGACTCTTGGCACACGGCTTCCACGTCTTCAGGCCTGGTTCGGCGACTCGAACGTTGGGCCGAAATAATCCAGGTGGATGATATGGGAGGAACCTCAACCAATTTATATCATGGGACTTCATGGAAATTTGATGGACATTGATGGGAATTCATGGACATGAATGAAACTTCGGATCTAAAACCAACAATTATCAAAAATTTGGGTCAGAAAATTGGGTATACCCCAAAAATATATCGCCATTTGAAGATGAAAAATCATGATCCGATCAACCAGTGGATTACCCTCTTGTAACACCTGCAGCGAAGGAGTGCAAGCTCACCTAAAATGTTGCACTGTCCAAATATGGCAGTGTACATCCCAATACGAGTATCCGACACACGGATTTTCAGAATCTCTAACATATTCAATCGTATAAACACTATCTTCTATGTAATCCAACAATAAGATACAAACAATCTATCAATATTGACAATTATTGTCATTATCGTTCATCAATTTCCACTCATTTACATTCATGTCCACTACAGTAATTGACATTAATTTCCACTCATTTACAGTACATATACAGTACATTAATTTCCATGACTTCCCATGATCTACCCTCTGGTTATGACTAACATAGCCATGGTATAGATGGCCCATAGAAATAGATGGTTTACCTATCAATAGCATGGTGGATCTTTCCATGGCAAACTGTTAGTCATAACCAGATGGATATCCCATGCTTCAGCACGCAGTTCACCTCATGTCAGCTGCATCCACATGAGCTGGGCAGTTCTCCAATGCTTGTCGTCCCACCTACGCGAGAGGAGCGTGTCGTGTCGAACCCGAGCGCGTTGCGCTGTTCCGATCATCGACTCGTGGAACGAGCGTTGTGTCGTGGGACAATAGAGGGATAATATGATGCCATGACTATAAAATATGATAACTATTGATAACTATTATATATGTTTTAAAAAAATATGATTATCCCACTATTGTCCTATATCATTATCATGTGATTCTCTCATCTCCCACTATTTCAGTATGCTGCATGAAAAGCTGTTGGAGTCTCGTTCCGACAAGAAGATTGTTGATCCATGAAAAAGATTAAATAGAGCAACTTGGCGATAAGATACTATATGATATAAAATGATATAAATTAAGATGTTCTGGCAAGTATGTACCTTATCTATCCTTATCTTTCTTACAACTTATATAAAGAAAAGTCCTAAGTGTTAAAACAAACTGACATGGATCCGAGTCTCATTAGGACTTCTCTTCATGTGACCTCGCCTCTGGACCTGTCCACAAATCGACAACACGCCATCTTCTGTCCAAGCGATATGAAACCAGGTGCAACACAATAATGTGGTGAACCCAATAATAAACCATACTAGATAATAGGATAATATGGATTGATATAGGATAAGAGTGGAATAATCATGGATACTTGTTATTGGATAACTACAATAAACCTTTCTCAAATTGGGGTTTATGATTGGATATACCGTATAGCCCCTATTTGAGATGATGTACAGTATGGCTTGAATTATCAACGCCCCAAACATGGATGGTTCACCATCAAACGATACTAGAAGTGCCCAATCGTATATAGAATATGTTGGTACCCCAAGTGTCGCCCATACATTCAACGGCACCCCTCTTAGCCACGCCTGAAGGCACTCTCTGATTTGCTGATGCCGTTGGTTGTAGCAGCAATCTAAGGATACTCCCGCGGCGCCTCATCGATTCTGAGGACGGCAATGCTAAGTGCGGTCCATTTCGGAAACCCACAAAAAGAAACAGATTGGTTTATTGGCCAGAACCTCTCAAAGCAAGCTTTCCTATGGCTTTGTGTTAAGGATTGTTAAGGCTATACTGCACCTGTCTGTGAAGCGAACTGTTGTATTCTCTGTAATCAAATGGCCCATAGACCAAGGTGATCATGCGTAAAATTCCCATGATGCTCATTAGAATCCCCCTTGATATTCTTGTATTATAATGTCAACCCTGGATTAATACACTGTGTTGATTCATTAGCAGGGTCCCCATCGTCCTGCATGGACATTAATCCCATCCGCTCATATGAGTTACAAAAAGCCATGGTTTCTGGTGGGTGTTCATCCATATTTGGGGGTTTCTTGAAATGGAGGTACCCCCAAAGCATCCATTTTAAGGGAATTTTCCATTGTAAACCCTCATTTAATTATGGAAACCACCATTTGGGGAAAGGATCAATGGCCTAAGAAATACCTCTGCCAAGACGCTGGGACAGCAATAGCCCTTCAGGTTCAAAGCACCGCATGTGGGCATCTCCGAACAGAGCACCGAAGAACTATGCCGCCCCTCAGCGTGGAAGCGCTACAAAAAAATGGTATCCCTGGAGGGCTATATAATCATAGATAAATAGGGATAAATCATAGATTAGCCATTATTAACCTTACCAGTAGGCATGTGATGGATGTGATGATTGAAAAATAAAACAAGGGTTGAGAATTCTGAGTCATGCTTGAAACATCGTTGAAAGACATACTAAGCTCGAGGATCCCAGAAGTTTCGGCACATTGAAGAATCCGGAGCATCGTACGTCAGGATCCAGTTTTGATGGAGTGTAGGTTTCTTATGAGTTTGCTTTGCAGCTACCTGGTCAAAGATGAGGTCCTTTATTGACCTTGGATACAACATCTTTCAACCATCCAACGCCCACAAGCAGAAATGGGTTCCATTTCCAAGGTCGACAATCAATGCTATATAGCCTACAGTAGCATGCCCTTAAATGAAGTGGTTGCATTACATGTGGTCCCATTATTGCTCCAATTCCCTTCAATTTTTGGTCCAGGACAAAATATGTCCAACGATCAAAGGATCCCCAACTTTCCAGACATGAACCATACACAATGGAGGTACTACCCTCTTGTATCGGACTGGGCCCCTTCAAATCATATATCAAATCATCCAATCTTGTGAAGTAGTCTACCTATTACACCCATGAAGTGTATGTATGGATATAACATGATACACATCATCCTAAATCAATGTTCCAATTCGAAATCAATTTCCAATTCTAAATCAATTGTCCAATTCAGAATCAATTTCCGATTCGAAATCAATTGTCCAATTCAGAATCAATTTCCGATTCGAAATCAATGTTCAAAGCTACGGAATTTGGCTCCACACGTGATGGAACCTGCAAGAAGGAAACCCCATCCCATCCAGGTGGCAGTGGGGTTGTTGGCTTCACTGCTGCGGTTGGCACCTTGGTGCTGCCCAGCATCACCAACGACCCATAAAAATGCTGCGAACTCATGATGATTTAGATAACAAGACTGTGCTAATAACGATGAGAACGATAATGATGACAATAATAGTGAAGTGATAATTTCATGAAATTCATGATAATAAATAATGATAATAATTGTAATGACAAAAATATACAGCAATGATAATAATCATAGTAATTCTAGTCATGAATGTAGATTGAGCTCGGTTTATAATGTGGACCAACAATACTAACACCAACAAAAAAGTCACAATCACAATAATGCTGATACAGTAATAATAACACGAAGATCAACGATGTCTCAGGGCTAACCCGTTTTTTGCTCTTCAAAGAGCAGCATCATCGAAAAAACTGTTTGAATCGGACTTGACGTTGAAATTATCTGAGTTGGGATTAATTGAAATCTTAAAAGTCAAAATCTGTCTTGAATCATCATCTACGAGGGCAGTACTGCATGATAATCAAAGTGTATGTATATGTATATATAGTGTGTATATATAATATATTATATATCATCAAGGGTAAAGAAAATATAGCCTCTGGTAATTTGCCATAGCTATGGCAAATGGCAAATGGCCCATTTATGCCTGATTTACATACCTGTTATTTCAATAGGGATGTTGTTTTCTTTTGTTTTCCATATGTGAAAAATTACCAGAGGGAATCCAGGTGTCAGGATCATGGGGGCGGCTTGAAATCACCACCCAGTCCAAGATGCTTTGCTTTTGCTGCACATACTTCAATGGGGTAACGGGCTAGTCAGTAAGTCGGTTGTACCCTCAGCTAAAGGTGGCTGAAATCCCCGAACTAGCGAGGTTTCAATGGGAAAACCATCGAAATAAATGGGAGATTTTCCAGCAAGCCATGTTTGATGACACTGGAGGGTATATACTCAACCATGTACAACCCATTACATCCCAGTTGTAAGGCGATAGAATCCAGTTCCAAACGATGGACGATACACCTCATTTTCAAACACATCCAAGTATTATATACTTGTTGCTTCTATATCCCATTGTATCCCACTCATAATTGTAATATATTGTAATCATGTCATGAATGTCCCATCAAGATCCAATTATCCCATTAATATCCCATCAAGATCCAATTATCCCATTAATATCCCATCAATATTCCATAGATTCCCATGATATGACCCCATGAATTTCTTCGTTAAAGCCCCATCTGCTTTCGCTTCGCACCGCGGGACGTCTTTGGAGCATCTTCAAGGACTCGCAGGACGCATCGTCGTCACCGTCGCAGCGTTCATCGTCCAGGGCACCCGTGACATCGAACTGTCGACCCAGCAACGCTACTGGGCTTAATACAGGTGGATATCTCTGGTAATCAAATATGGGGATGGGTCAAAACCCTGGTACCTTTTGTTCACCCCAAGTCATAGCTGGGATTTATGGATGTTCATCCCACTATAGTAATGTATCTATAGGTATTGACCCATACCCATATGGCTAGCTGGAAAATCCCCGAACGAAATCGAACGCTTTTGATGGGACATTCCGCCAAAAAAATGGTGGATTTTCCAACCACCAGGCGAATCTGAGCCATCTTGTGGGGAAGCTTTTTTTGGTGGTCGAATTCCCCAAAAAAATTGTGTGAAGCTCTTTGTACCCTCTGGTAAACAAACATAACTATGGAAAATCACCATTTTCAATGGGAAAATCCACTATAAATGGTCAATTTCCATAGCTATGTTAAATTACCAGAGGGTAATTGTACTGTTGGTGATCTCAAGAAAATCCATTGAAAATTCAACGTTAAACGATGTTAAACGGCACATTCGGCTCTCAAAGGTGTTGGAAATTGGTCCCTTTACTCGAAACCATCGTCCACTACAAGAATCGTTCCATCTGGGGTACCTGGAAAATATAAAGGTCGACCACTTTAAACGACTTTAAACATCACTAACATCGACCCATACCACAAATCGGAATAATCTGTTGGGTATGATGAGTAATAAATATGTGGAAACCAATCAGCGGATTAATTTAGGTTCATTGGCTGTATCATCCTAGGCTCAAAAATACAAAGATCGTTGGTCCGTATCCCCATTCATGTTGGTGTTTCTCCGTATTCTTGTTGGAAAATAAACAATCCATATATCTCCATATTGTGTGTCCCAAAGGAATTAGAAAAACTTAGTAACTAGCAACAGCAAACCGCCAGAAACTTCCAGTAACGTCAAATCCGCATCGCGGTTTAGGCGACGAGACATGGTCAATTCGCCAGCGAATTTGAGATGTGGCCAGCCAGAATCGGGGATGGAACCGTGTAAAATCGGGGTTCAACCAATAAAATCATCAACAAGCGGAAGGTCACCATCAAACAGTCTTGAAAATCTGGACTTTGACAACTTTGACCATGGATATTTACCCCATGAAAAACCATGAAACATGGGGATTGAGCCGGCCGAAAAAATCGTGGAACCCCAGGGCCTCTTTCAGCTGCGCGAGGGCGCAGAATGTGGCCGCAGAAAGGAGCGTTGGAAAAAACGCCATGGCAGCACTAGATGTGGGCTTTCTATGCAACTATCCGAGTTTTTTGCGGGAGATAATTATGGCAACTATCCACAACTAGTCAATTTTTGGCACTTCGTAACTATCCATTTTCAGTTCGAGTTCATCATTGTCAGCCGGTGATGTTCTCTTACAGCCATGATATCATAATGATGTATGTATAGCATTCTATGGTCATCCTGTTTTTTGCGATCTGAGATGTTCTCAAGAAGTTCACTGACTCACCAAATGTCAGTTGCGTAGCACCCCGGGATCAGTCCAACAGCTCACCCAATGGCCCCAAAAGCACTGAGATTGTTGTGACTCTGCTAAGCTGCTGTTCTATACAGTATTATTTCTCAGACCAGCATTACCATGCGTTTCCCAGTTATCATCATGCATTCGTACACAGATTGACTCATATACAATCATACAGTATACATACGTACATAATCATACATATAATATATATATACATATACATATATATATACACATTATAATATATATATATATATTATAATATACATGTGGGTCTCATGTGGATTATGATGTTATGGCACCACGGTAAACTGACTTCAGCAGAACAGCCCTGGCCTGATCGCTCCAGTGCAGTTTGGGCGCCGCAATGCCGAAAGGCACTGCGAGGAGCAATACCTCGACGGGACGGTACTAGCAGCAAGTGGGGTTTTTATCCAACAAAAAATAAAGGATTTAATGATTTAATATGATTTAATGATTTAATATGACTTAATGATTAGATTACCAACCAAACTGAGGATTAGAAATAGTTTTGAACCAGCCAAACTGAGGATAAATATGATTTAATATGATTTCTATAATGATTAGATTACCAAAACCTGGTTTTAAAAATGTCTAAAAACATCTAAAAACTAGGATTTGAGCTGAACAATCGGGATTCGACCCTTTCTCGATGGGTGATTATGCCATCAAACACTTGGAGTTCAGCATCAAGAATCTGGATGAATCTGGGTATTAGCATCAACAATTGGGAGTTGATCATGAAAACTTAGGAATTGGCAAAGTTGTGATCATGTGTAAGCAGCATTCATATTCAAACCCATGCTCTCCAGCGGTTGACTCCTAGGGCCCTAGGGCTAACTCCATCACTTCTGACTCCCTTTTGGCCCACATTTGTGACCAGAGTTCCCGACATTCAGAGGCGAATCAAAGAGCAACTTCCTGAAAATGGCAGCCTTAGAACTGGTTGGTGCCAAATGTGGAGCATCAAGACATCAAGAATCATATTGGATCTGAAAGTGGTGTATTTACCCTCTGGTAATTTAACATAGCTATAGAAAATCAACATTTTTAATAGGTAAACCATCTATAAATGGACCATTTTACATATAGGATAAGGATTAGTAATCACTAGATTTTGAGCTCCAATTCGGCAGTTGGCCCGCTTTTTGTGGATCCGAGCGGCAGGAATTTGGAGTGACGTATATAGTACAGTAGCCATCAACATAGCATACAAAAATAAAGATGTGGGGTAATATACAATGGCCAAATATTATATATATATGGGTATGGGTCAAAATTAGGTACCCCAATAATTGGATGGTTGATACTAAACTAGACTAACATCTGTGGTCCCCTAGGTCTTCCATTTTGACCCACATCCATATAGATAGTATTCAATATTAATGAAGATCCGATGTGGTGTTGGTTTACCAATGTGGTAAACCATTCATCAACCATCTGAGGCCCCACACTGGACCCGCCTCAGAGCCGGGGGAGCGTGTGCCATGGTGGTTTTATCCTGTGCCATGTTGGACATTGTTGGACTATACCAGAGAGTACCCTCTGGTTATGACTAACATAGCTATTGAAAATGACCATTTATAGTGGATTTTCCCATTAAAAATGATGATTTTCAATAGCTATGTTAAATTACCAGAGAGTAGCGTCTTGGTTTCATTGGGCTGAACCTCTGGTCATCAATATTACAACACAACTCAGGTATCCAACAAGTACATACTGCATGAGATTCTCTTCATGATTTGATTTACAGTGCTTTCCTAAATTGTCCACAAGCTTGCCAAAGGCTAAGTCACATTGATATTTTACCTCTGCAGCAACTGGCTGAGATTCATCCACCAGTCATCACGCCGAAATGGATCATTCATGATCATTCCCAAACGGATCATATACCCATTAATTATATCCCATGGTCACTCATGTTTTGTGGTTAATTGATATCCACACACTTATCATTCCCAAACAAACATCAAAAAACAATCTTATATGATTGCCAATTACAACATCCAGTTGCTATATCTCAGGATTGATAGCACCGCCATGCAATCAATCCCGATAAACAGAAAAAAAACAACAATTTACCATCATTATTTACCACTATTTTAGTTCTGTTGTTCCTTCCTTTTTGGAAGTTACACCAGTGACATGTCACCCCCGGCCCGACCAAGGCGCATATTTCTTGGGGGCCACGGTACCCGCGGCCCCGCCGGGCTCTACAGGTTTTTGGGCTTCCTGGGGCAACGGCGCGTATGGAAAGGGTGTACTGATATACAAATTGTGTAGTATCGTAGATAAATATATATCATATGTGTATATATATATATATAATTATATATATATATCATCGAAATGATATGCATCAATGTGAGTTGATCAATTGATACAATGGTGCACATACAATAATTGTACTGATACTATGCACAGTGGCATACTGGATTTGCCACTTGCAACCTCTCCCAACAGCTCACCCTGCCTGATCTTTTCTGTTTAAAGCCGCATAACCATCCTTATCCTGCAGCGATTTTTAGGCCACACGATTTCAGCTGCATTTGGGGTGAAGCAAGTGGGTCTAAATCTGACCATGCCAGTTGCGTGGAAGGAATTCTGGAGGCACGAAGACCAGAAAAATGGTCTTCCTTCTGCCGAATTGCAAACTTTGAAGATCTGAGTATCAAGCGGCCTTCTTGGCTGAAAAATCCGACTTAGCAAGTGAGTGGTCCAACTGGAACTGGATGCTTACTTATGCCTATGTCATGCTATTTTATATGCACAACTGGATCTTGACTATGGTTCCTAATCAGCTGCAACCTTGGTGACCCAAGCTGCCCCCCCAGGCCCCCCTCCTGGCTCATTGCAACCTCAAATCCCTGGGCGCTTTGTGGAGCGGATCGAACTGGAGAAATTCAGTGCGGTCGCCGTTCAGTGCGCTTCCATGAACTTCACCAAACAAATGATATAAATGTACAGTAACTGTAACCACTGTAACCAAGAAGCTGTTTGGTGAAAAAATGCACAAGTCCAAGCCAATTTTGGACACTGCGAGCGCTTGATTTGTCCATCCCTTTTTGCGAACCAGACCTCTACCTCGGGCCTACGGGTGGCAATGGGAGACCCCATCCAACATGATCCAACTCCCCCATCCTCACCTGACGTGCCAAATCGCAACCGCGCAGGAGTTCGCGCGGGTGCTAAAATGGCCACTTGAAGCATCGATCACCATCCCAAGTGCCGGTCAAAGCAGCAGGTGTAACCATTGACGATGACACTCTTTGCTTGAAAGCGGTGCGTCTTTCACAAAAATCAACTGAGCCATTGAAAATACCCCTATCCCATCTCATTATACCAGTTGGTTGAAACCGGTTTCCCTACTATAGGTTATCATTAGTTATCATAATCCCCAGTAAATTAGGTAGTTTTAGGTAGTATAAGTCCCTAACAAATCAACCAGGTATGAAAAGTTCATGGCTCAACTGGATCTGCACAAAATCCACCTTCTTCAGCTTGCCAGTGTCAAATCCCCCAATGGCCTCGCTCCCAAAGGCAGCTCCGGGGGGTCCCATGGGTTGTATCAAACTTTAGAGCCAAGTTTGACCCCTTGACCCCATCATGGCTTCGCAAAAGCTGCACCGATTTCGAAATTCTGTGGGTCGGATTTGGATCATAAAGTTCTACCACTTCAATCAGCATCCATCAAGAAGCTGCTGCAGGAGATTCTCTAGGTGTCCCCACATTGAAGACAGCTGATATGCCTCCAGCAGCAGGAGCCGCTTTCGGTGCCGTCTCAGCCTCCGGGTCCCCGGGGTGCTGTTTTTTGGATCCCGTTGTGACTAAAAAAAGCGTGATGTTGTTCGAAGGAATCCGGCCAAGCTGGTAAATCACAATGCCTACAGTTTTTGCATGTCTGGTAGGTTTGTGCAAATTGTCTATCACAACAAGGGCCAAATCACCACCAAAAAAAACAAGAAGAAGGATAGATAAATGTAGATTGAGTATTAGTACTTCATTACTATACTTCAAACTTGAAACATATTTAATATGTAAGAAATCAGCTTACCATCCACAAAGCATTCGCGGAGCCTTTAATTTGGCCTTCACCTCTTCCGGCATTCCAACGAAGCCGCCCTGACAGTGCGAAGTGGGTTTGGGACTTTCCCTCGGGTAAAATATATACCATAAAGATAGGAAAATAATATATATATATATATAATTATATATATAATGTATGTAGACGTATGCATATATCATATAGCATATACCAAAATTTGAAAACCAAAAAACATCGACCCACCCACCCTCAACTCACGGATTTTAGCTAGCCACTTTTTTGCAGGTACTCAAGCTTTGACTCACTCTCCAGGCTCGCAAGCCGCCTTGGGTGGAGGCGGCCCTTTGCCCTTGCCTTTGCTGGCCTTTGGGGCAGCACCTGAGGAATCCATGTGCAGGAAACCTCACCTTAATTGTAACAGTTTGCCATAGAAGAGCACCTTGTAGATGATTTACTCGGGGATGGGTAAGAAACCTCTACAGTGCCATTACTGGGGAGCATCCACCAGATTTCGTTTTGGATGGGTCCCCAGTTTCTGCGCTGCTTCTGGTTCCATTGAGTCCCCCCCACTCTAGACAACAACCCGCTATCCATTTTGCATCGAAAAAAAAAAAAACTTTCAATTGCCGATGGTTTGCCGGCTCAACCCAATTTTTGGTGCTTAAATCCCATTTTTGATTCTTAAATCCCAACTTTTTGGTGAACTCCGCTCGCCAAGCCTGAAGGAGCTGCTCCTAAAGGGTGGGCGGTGAAATAGTCCAGCGCTGCCTGAGTTGAACAGGAAGTGGTTGTTAACCCATATTCAACCCATATTCAACCCATATTAACCCATATTGACCCATACTAACTATAAGTTTGTCCACTTACTGGTTGAGAATATGAGTTGATGTGTTAGGAAGTGGTTATTGGGCCATTAATACTACTGGGGATATATACTTTACATGGTTATGACCTACCAACCCCTTCGGCCAGGTTCGCAGGTTCGCAGGCGCGCAGCTCCGCCTGTCCCTTGACGTTCCAGATGACACCCATCTTGCAGTTCTCCGCGCACCAGTCCTTGAACTCCTGCCACAAGATGTGAAAATTGGGTGTGGACCTGAAAATTGAGGATTGATCAATTGATTCCCCCCAGTTATGGCGATTTTACAGGGAAGTTGATGATTCACCGATTTAGGGGTAGCCTGCTTTCAGACTAACCCATGTTGATGCTCCCTGTAGCAAGACAAAAAATCATGAGGACAGGGGATACTGATACTGCACAAGCACATGGGTGAAAAGAAAGTACTCACAAACTCTGATTTTTGATGACTCAGTCTGTGGACAAGTATACTTGTGAATATATGCTGGAGGCTCCGGTCGTCTCCTTCAACGACTCTTTGAAGGCCTTGACCCAGGCAGTCTCCTTTGGAAATGGCGATATGGCGATAACTCATCAGCGCTTATCTTATCTTAACCACGAATCACTAGGCATCAAGAAACTTTTACTTTTATCTCTACTATAGATACGACAAAAACATGCCGCCCCTGTTGACCTGTGACAAAAAAAACTGACGACACACCTGTGACTTCGCCCTTGAGGTCCACCGGTCGCTTCAGGAAATTGCTGGCGCAGTCACTGTGATTCCCCGGTCGATGATCATTTTCACCATTGGCTGTGCAATTTGCTCGGAGTAAATCATCCATTTTCAGACAAACCCAAATCCATTATATCATCATCATCAATCCATTATTCATTGCTTAAATCCCGAATCTTGATCCCCATAATAAAAAAAAAACGCTGGGTAAATGATGTAATGGCCAATAACAGCTGGATGTTTTCCATGCTACCCCATAGAATCCACCAACTGCCACTACTGGTGGCCTTGTCGACCTTCTTCTGCAGGACCTGCACGTCACGGCGGGTTTTTTTACCAAACTATGGCTGCAACAGTGGTTGAACCACCAAAACATGTATGAAAGTCAAGTGGGATCATCAATTCCCAGTATTTTTTGAAAAGAGAATGAACATGAAAAAAGGCCAAAGATGTGCTGAAATCAGCAACCAGTTGGTCAATGCTATCCCAGATGTACACATTTAGGCTTAGCGTCCCCGGGTTCAAACCCTGGAGCCCTGGTACCCACTGGTACCCCATCGCATGGCCGTATATTGGGGTTCGTTCCCCAAGCCAAATCCATGATCCATCGGTTAAATCCCCCTATGTTTCTTGATTCAACCCTAGCCCCATCCCCGAAAACGCCACCCCTGGGCCCGCCTTGTTCGCATGAAAGTCAAAGGTCTCCAAGATGCTCTGTACCTCGGCATTTTTAACCATGAACATGGGGTATAAAGTCAACCATTTCTTGGAGGATGCTGTAACCTATATTCAACCAGCCAAAAAGCAGATGCCATATATGATGTAGTTATCAAAAAAACATGGATTGATTCAATCAACAAAAGATAAAATGGGGATCTATATCACCAACAATAGTAGGCATAGCGGCATAACAACAAAATGAGGATTTACACAACCATAATGGGTAGAATTATAGATTAAATCAAGCATTCTATTGGATTAATAGTCGGATATAAAGGGATTATATGACCAACAATGATATGTGACTTGATCTGTAAATTGGGTATTTACATGTATTTACGCTATTTAGTAATACGTATAGTAATTCACAATGGAGATTTACACCAATTCAACGCCCAAGCAATGCGGCAAGCGGCAATGTATATAAGTACTGGAGGAAATCATGATAAACCATAGGAAATTGAGATATCAATTATCATGGCCACTAAATGATGGGGCCATTTTGAGGCTTTCGACCAGTGGAGCTTATTTCGGAAAAAAACACTGAGTCCCAACTATTTCTCCGCTGTTCAATTTCAGGAAAATCTGTGGCTTGCAGATTGGTGATGATATCCTGTCTCAGAAAGTGGACACGCCTTCTTTTCGAGTCAGCTGACTATGATTTGACGGGGCATCAATGGAACCACAAAATTGAAAAAGTGTGCTTATGTTTCGATGACCCTCCGGTCATCAAACATGGCAATGGTTTATAATTTCCCCATTTATAGTTAAACTGCCATGGTGGGGATGTCCCATCAATTTCCCATCCCCCGCAGCTTCCCGACATGTCCAGGGGGAGACGGCGACGTTACTAACCTCGCGGGCGCGAATGTGTGCGGTGGGATATTTATATATATATATAATATACATATGTATATATCAAGATGGGGTCATAAATAGATTCAATGGAAATGTGTTAAGGGAAAATCTACAGGAAACCACGGATTTTCCAATTTAAATATAGAGCTTTCCTGTAAATTTTACCTTAAACCAATCCATTGATAGATATAAATTGACGGTTGAATGTTGAATTTGGTTTGGAGCTTTCAGATCTGTGTCAGAATACGTCAAAATACCAAAAACACATTCTGAAACCAAAGAAAAAATGGGTCCGTCCCAAATCTGTCATTTATGCCATTAATGCCCCCAATAGTTGGCCAAAATGGATCAAAATGGGCTGTGTTTTGTGTTGATATAGTGGAATCCATTGAACTAGCGCAGCCCCTCTCAACGAGTGGCATGATCACGTTCAGCGATTCGGCTGAAGCTTTCCTGTCGAAGTGATACATGAAATCATGTGGCTTTGTCTGAAAATGGGAATGCCCATAGAATTACCATTGAATGGGGAAAATGATCAGATCAGCCATCAAAAAACGCCATGCTGTGGCAGTTCGAAGCATTCTTTGGCGACACTCTTGGAAAACACACCAAGTGGTTGAAAGAGTAGTGCGTTTTCATAGGTGTCCACGCTATAAAATTAAATTAGGGGAAATACATAGGAATAGCATAGTGTCATACCAGTTTTTTTGTTGCCATACCGAGTCATACCAAAACCACACGTGAAGGTTGAACTATGCCATCGCCCGCCCGCCCTTCCTGTGCTGGAAGAAGTCGCTTCGTGAGTCACATGCTTTCTGCGCCTGCAGAATTCCACCGGCTAACAGAGGGGATGACCTGAGAAGTGCAAAATACTGCTGATTGAAATGGCTATATCTCAGGGTAAAGTTGACTATTGTGTGATATCACAGAAGGGGTAGTGGGTATACTTCACATCCACAACATACATTGAGATACTGGGTATAGTTTGACTGTTTTTGACATGTATGACTGTATGACCGAGATGCTGAGCCGCTCAACAACGGGCTGGTGGAAACCAGGTGGAAACCACCAGGCCAGGTCAATATACACATCAACATACATCAACCCAGCCATGATCAACCAAGAGATTGAGGTATATGATGGTATATGAATATAACTATGTGCACAGCCGTGCCAACCAAAATCTCCAGCCGTGCCAACTCAGCTGTTTTGGCCCCAATCATCGCCTTCTGCCCCAACTCCATGACAGGGCCTAGGATTTTGCCCCAATCTGTATCCTCACAGCACAGCTTGGCAAAGCGCCAAGCTAAGGAATTCTCTGCCGCAAAGTGAGATCAGGCCCATCAGGCGAGCTTAAGGTACAACAACTAAGCCATCCCCAATTTACTCAATGTTACGATTGGGGTGGTCATCCATTTAGTTCAATGATTGTCTATCAAAACCTCATTTTTTGATGATGATTCCTAGCAATCGCCATGTTTGAGTACCGTTGGGGAACTATATAACAAGACCACATTCCCATGATAACTCCACATCAATTATATCCCATATTATATCCCCACGAAACCACCATTCTTGATGAAAATCACTATCTTTGAGGCTTCCCTGTCTTACCAGAGGCACCTGGGGCTTTTGGCAGCTGCCGGTGGCCACAAACAACTCCCGAAGCAGCCTCCATCGGCGACGTGGCGCCCAAGGTTCTTTTTTTGGGGTGGCTGGAGGTGCTTCCCCATTGTATATATATATATATTGATCTGATAGTCAGGATAAAAGCTGGGGCGTCAAAAAAAGTCGATCCACCCAGTCAACAGTGTTTTCCGATCAAGCTTAAGGATTGCCAGGGTCACACCAATGTCCTCTTTGTGTAAAGCCAGAACTCCTGGAAAATCAAAGCAAAGACAGGTAGATACCCATAAAATTGGTGGCTGCGCCAAACAGCTATTGCTGATCCATAACCCGGGATTGTCCAAAAGTAGGAAAATTCCGCAACACAGATGGGCGCTTTCTCAACCAGTGGATATGAGGATTTTCCCCCAATTTCTCATAATAATCCTCGTTAAAGATCCTTGTATCAACCAATTACGGCAGTACCTGTACATATAACGTCATCACAGAATACATGTATAGTTACAGTATTTATATGGCAGTGTGTCAAAACCTTGTACCCCTGGTGAACATCAAAATAGCTGGTAAATGGATGTTCATCCCACTAAAAATGGTATTAATAGGTATTGATCCATAGCCATATATATATATGCATTATAAACCAACATAAACCAACCCCATACATAATTTGGGGTCAAGTGTCCAGACATCCACAGCGAAAAGCCGGCCGCCTGAGCCCTTCCACATAAATCTCAGTGGCTTCGGTCACGTCCTCTGGCGTGGCGAGGGGACGATAAATCATGGAAAAAAACATATAAACAACACTAGAACATCCTACATCTGAAAAAAACATCAAACATCAAACATCATCAAGATGGGTTGGTAGATCACCAAAAGACCAACAAAAAAGACTCTTCAAATCCCGCCCAAAACGCGACGCGCTATTCGCCCCATCGTCTCCTTCGAGTTCAAATCTTTGGCACAGCCCCTGGGAGATTGGCACCGACCATCTGGGGATATCTCTTGCTGATACACAACTGATGGATATAGAGGGAATAACATGGAATAACCATGGCAAAAAAAGGACAGCACTCTACGGTGCTTGGTTTCAGTTGCTTACTGCCAAAATAGTGCACACAATTCCACTTCGTTCCGATGTCAAAATATTGCTAAAATGTGTTATATACAGATGTCTTCAGCCCCCGAAATCGGCCTTTGGCGTTTTCCAGATTGTTTAACCGCAACAAAATAGATGCCCAGAAGTAGAGAAAGGGTCCCTGTTCAAAATCCAAGCTTTATCATCATGTTCTCTATTACCATCTGGTTATTTGACATAGCCATGGAAAATCAACATTTTTAATAGGTAAACCATCTATAAATGGGCCATTTCCCATGGCTATGTTGAATAACCAGAGGGTAATATATAATGCCATTTTGTTGGTATCCCCAAGTTCAGCTTGCCTGAGGTTCACAATTCGTGCGAAAAAAAATAGACAACAACTCCACGTCCCAGGCACTCCACGGGTGGAATCTTGCCCTGCACGAACATGTCGAACCTGGACATAGATGAGATACACAGTTGCTGCATCGGAGTTTAGAATCCACATAATTACAGAACTATGTCATTGATCGAGAGATCGTCCGTACACATTTGTTTGGCATTCTTTGAAAGGTCTTCTGTTCTCTATCATTTCCCTGTGTTTGATGTCAACGTTTGTGGATATGGATCATATGGCTCAAAATCCGTGCTCTGGTGAGCGCCATTATATAAAAAGGATTAAAAAGGTGGTAAATACCGTTGATCCTATGGGTATAATTTTCTTCTCGATTGAAGTCTTCCACAGTTGAAGATTCAGGCTACATGTTTTCTTGGTCTATATATCTGAGTCAAAACTATGGGTACCAATAGTCTACAAATTGTTCATTTGAGTTTGTAGCATTCAACTGAACCATGCACTTTGGGCGGTTGCTAACGTTGACCCAAACCCACACGGGTTTGTCTGACACAATAGGGCGATAGGGAGTCCGCTGGTTTATAATAATCTCCCGATTAAGAAATCGTCATGACTGGGGAGTATGCCTCATGTTCAGACACACCAAAATCCACACAAAAATCATTGGTTCAACATGGTTAAACCCTCCATTTTTTGGTGTTTCACCATCATGTAAGCTGGATTCATCATTGTTAATCCTCCATGTTTGCTGATCTCTCCCCCCCTTTTTTATGAAAGAAATGGCTCTGCGTCCACGGAACGCCAGGACGATTGGTGGAACATCTTCACCGGCGGAAGCGGAACCTGACCGTGGACAGGTCAGCTTTCTATTTGGAAAGTCATCCGGGACGTAGATAGAATGTGGTTGATGATCTTGATGATCCATTTAAATTTAAGCGGATTTGAAAAATCTAGAATATGGAATTGTGAAACAATCCTCACTAGACTTAGATGAATGTGTTTGAAACTTCCATGTCTACTCCAGGATGATTGTATATCTTGGGGATTCTTGGGGATCCCAATGATATGACGGAAAAACAAATCCGACCAAAGGACTGCGGCATACTGCGGCTCTTAAATTACGACGCCCGCCAAAAAAGAAACAAGGTGTCCCTATTACAGTAGCACTCAGAACGGACTGTAGATCATATTTTTGGGGTTCTAACGCTTCTCAAGTTGTAGTTGTTCATCACGAACTCTACTAGCAATAGTCTATTTGAACTATTATATATAAGTAATTGATTACAGTATATGATAAATGATAACCATATATCAACGTGTATCTGTGTATATATATATTAACATATATCAACTATGTTTATGTTCACCAAACCATAGCTTATTCTTATTTTTTTAAAACTTGAAAAAAAGCGCGAAAAATGCAAAAAAAATGGAAAAAACAAAAAGCAAATCAGCAAAATCCAAAAAACACAAAAGCAAAATAAAAGGGAAAAAAAAGGGAAACAAAAAGGACAGACAAAAAGGGGAAAAAATGGGGAAAAAATGGACTTGTCCATTTGCATTTTTGTTGCTTTTTTTTTGCTTTTTCGATTTGTTTTTTTTGCTTTTGTTTTGCTTTTATTTTGCTTTTTTTTGTTTTTTTTCAGGCAAAAAGCAAAAAAAAGCAAGAAAAAAGCAAAACAAAAGCAAAAAAAACAAATCGAAAAAGCAAAAAAAAAAGCAACAAAAATGCAAATGGACAAGTCCATTTTTTTCCCATGTTTTCCCCTTTTTGACGTTCCTTTTTTTTCCCATTTATTTTGCTTCCTGTTTTTTTCGGTTTTGAAGTTTTGCTTTTTGATTTTCCATGTGTTTTCCTTTTTTTTTGCTTTTTTTTCAAGTTTAAAAAACATTAGAATAAGCTATAGAGGTGGACATAAAACTATGTACTATATGAGCTTCTTCGGTCTCGACAGTTCCCAACGGTTCCCACCTGCGGCTGCACCTCCTCCTGAAGTGCCCTCCAACAACCGCTGTGTTGCACCCAGGAAAAATGCTGGATTGAACTGATTTAAGCATGAAAAATGGTGATGGATTTCCCGGCAAAAACTTGAATGGATTTCACTTCACCATCAAGAAATGGAAAATGACTTGCTGGAAAATTCCCATCCCAAGTTTGGTGGAGTTTTTTTTCAACTATCATGTGGTTGGGAAGGTTGGGAAACTCAATTCGTAGCTCCTCAGTTTCCCTCTGCACCTTCTCCAATCGCTCTGCCACGCTTTCAAGCCTTGCGGGATGTCACAAATTTGGGTACACTGTTGGGTCATGGCGTCGCTCAAAATATGTTTTAAAGGGAAGCGTAGGGACGGTACATTTGAAGCTAAGCTTGGTTGGAATGAAAAATATGGTTATATTCGGTCTGATTGAACGGCCGCGAAAATGTGTGCATCTCGCAAGGCTACGGGGAACGTTGTCATCAGCAAACGCGCTCTATATAAGCCAAAGAAAAAATGGGACGGACAGTTGCCGCAACTGCAAACCTCAAAGAAATCAGTTCAAAAAAGGTAGTTATCATCTTGCCGGATTGAAAGCTTGAACATGGCACGACATGCACAATCTACTGGAGTTCAACTCAAACCGAATCTGAATGCAGGTGCAATCACAGGCATACTTGTAGCTCTCTCAGGGTCAGAAAAATTGCCACACTTCTTGGATTTGTTCAATTGGGTTTGACATTTTCACCAGATTCCCCCCGGTAGACACAACATCTACCGGACCAGGCCTAGCAAGAACCGACTCAAACTGCGCCAGATTGACAGCCATGGAACTAACCTCGCACCAGGAGAGGAGCTCCAACCGGTGGCATCCACTGCCCTGGGTTTCCCACTGAATTACTGAAAATGCTTAGTGCTAACATGTGCTAACATTTGCTAACTAAGCCATCTAGCAATATGTGCATCATATCATATCACCATAAAATACTTCAGGTATCATATATATATACTATACTATACTATCATTCATGCAAATCTGTCCGGGGGGTCCTATACAATTGACCTCTCCCTATTTTGCCAACGATATCACCTTCCATCTCCGATCTGAGGCGGAAACTGTGGCAGCCGCCTTTGGAGATCGGCGATAGGTTTTGTGAAGTGCTGCTACTTCTGTCAGATCCATCGTGCTGTTGGTGAGGTCAGTTGTTTGTTCCTCTTGAAAGAAATTTCAAAGTTGTCTAGGCATGAGATATCATGAGATCCTACACATGTTGGTTATTGTTTGTTTCTCTGGCAACTGTTCATGCAGAACATTTAAGGTCAGTTAAAAATCCTTTGATCTGTATCGCGATCCAGAATGGCTGCATGTTCTTCATCTTGAACTTCGACGGAGCCGTGAATGTGAGCCTGCCTGGCACGAAGAAAAACATTTGGAATCAGAATCCGTTAACAAACAGTTATAGGATGTTATAAGTTATAAGTAAACAAAGAAAGGTGCTAAAACTTGAAGTTTCTGGATGGTCACCAAACCTTGCAACCCAGACCTTCCACTGCTCGGGACACCTTTCCGAAATGCTCTCTCCACTCGGTTCATCTTACGCGCCACCACATGGGCCGCAGCTGTCGTTCAACATGGCAGCCTGGTTTAAGGAATCTTTGGCTTACATAGTTTGTAAAGACATGTTGCATGCTGAGGCGGATACGCCCTGATTGTATCATATCGTATCTCAACCTATCTCAAGCTCTTCATGTTTCCAAGGGAAGAACATCTGTGATCCGTGATCTCTCTTAACGCGGCGGCCCACCTCACCAAATGTGGCTCTACAAATTTCTAAAACATATTTCGCTCAAATCAACTTCTGCAACGCAGATTTAGAAACGGTACTTGGCATCCAGTGGTTGGAAAGGCATGCGCGTAGCCACAGGGTCATACCTCGGACGCTTTCTTGCAACTCTCAAAGATGCAGCATCAGTCTCACTTGATGAATTTCTCGTCTGAGAATCCAAGAGAATCCAAGGCATTCTATTCTATACTCTACACCTGTGCTTCTCTGTTTACCTCCTAAGTCTCTGACCCTTTCGGGGGAAGCAAACTGATGTCCCAGCTAATTCATGTGCTGTTCAGCCCCTACAAAGCGTTTCGCAAATATATAAGGCATCTATCCTCAAACTATCCCAGCAATATGGGGCTGCATGGCCCATGCTGATCATCGCTCCTAAATCTGGTATCATTTCCCCTATGCCTACGGGTCCACATGCTCTTTTATATACATACAACGATATTATCCCAATTGTTAATGGTGGCTCAAGCCTTGAAATACCAATGATTCTTGGATCTTACTCATTGTTACTTCCAATCTTCCAATTTTGGAACAGCCTTGTTACACCACGACATGTCCCCAAGACATCACCGCTGTCCACCAGTGTGTCCACCACTGTGTCCACCACGGCGCCCCGACTCGGCGGATAAGGACGCCAAATAGTGGGCCGAGTTGGTCTCCTCTTGCTCTCGGAAGAAGAGAAGCTGCTTCTCCTCCGACGGTACTGGGGCCATGGTGGAAATGGACATTTACCGAGGAACCATGAGGACTATTGTCAATTATCCGGATAAACATTTAGTTGCAAAAACAAGCTGGGGATGGTTTTTTTCGCAATGATGCTCGAGAATTTGGGGTGAGATTGACCAACAAAATCAATGGTATGCTTGACCCAAACTTGGGAATAGAAGCAAAAAATTACCAGGATCTGGTCTCATCCAAGAAAGATGGATGAGTGAAGGTAAATGTCAACCCTGAGAATGTTTGGGATTCACGGGCAAAACTCAGAAGCATATTTCACCCACAGCACAGGCATTTAGCCCTACAACAAATGTTGTTGGGCAATGCCCACGGAGATGCAATAGATACCCATCAAATCTTGGATTGTTCCAAACCATTTTCGCCATTTTTTATCGTTTTCATGGATGATGTATTGATGTCATGCAATACTCTGCACTGCTTCAAAAAACGCACGTCCACGAAAACTCGAAAATCCAGTCGGTGGAAGTTTTGACCAACTTTCTGGGAGGAGTCAGGAAACTTTATTTCCAACAATGACCACTTTATGTATCACTCTGAGATTCGGGTTATGAAATGCTATGAATATGTTGTCATGTCAATCCCGGGTTAAAATATGTTAATATCCCCAGTTTAGTAGGAGCAAGGTCCCCAAATTGGCAGGAAATGATTATGAAAATGTGTATAGGCATCTATTAACATCGATCAACCTCGATCAACTAAATCCCCAAATGGTGTTTCACCCCAAATCATCCGTTTTAGTAATAAACCATCCAGCTATTGGGGTACCCCCATTCCAGGAAACCCCCAAATAAGCTTGCGGTGCCAATGAACTTCTTTTAGGTCAGATGACCGACTTGGCTGGGCTTCAGGCATAGTATCGCTTGCGGCTTTGAATCTTGTAGTACCTGCAGTGAAGGGAAAAGAAACTTGAATGATTCCGATCACAGGAAAACATCCTGCAGATACCTGAATTTTGAACACGTTAATTGTTTCGATTCTTTATATTTTTACCTCTTGTTTTACCTCTTTTTTGAGGTGTATAAGTTGAGGTCAGTTAAGGTTCGTAGTGGGTTGATTTTGGCCAAGGCAAATTGAAGCACAGCCGTAGCCGAGCCCGATCCCATGGCACTCGTGGTCAAAGCACATGAGATAGGCACATCGCCCAGCCTTGGTTGAAAAATCGAGACATGTGGCAATGAATCATTGGGAATATGGGGATGGGTCAAAACCCTGGTACCTAGTGAACCCCAAAATAGCTGGGATTTATGGATGTTCATCCCACTAAAGTCATGTATCTATAGGTATTGACCCATACCCATATCATGGAATATGATGATTTGCCGCAGTTTGCTACACCATTTCTGGATAAACTCATGAAACAAACCCTATGTGAGGTCCAACCGAATAGGATTTCAGGGGACCATAAATCATCCCCAAAATCCACCAGAAATGAGTGGTATAAATAGTAGAAACCCTGGGAAAAATGGGTGATCTATGATAGCATTGAAGCTTTAAACCATAGTTTACCGTATTGAATTTATCAGGTTCATCAAAGTGCTTATGGGTCAAAACGTCAAAACCCTGGTACCCGACCCTAAGTCGTAGCTGGTATAGCTGGATGGTTCTTCCCCCAACTGGTGACCAGCAAGGCCCCGAACGTAGACCAGGCCGGACAAAATGATGCCACCAGCTACGCCATAGGCCAGCGAATAGAGAGGTGTGCCCTGTGGTCAACCGTGGCCCCTGGACCACAGGTCTCGTTATATAAATTGCTTGGGGATCCCTGAAATCCTCCAAAAGATATAGGCAACATCTAGTAGTATCTAGTGAAAATATAGTCAAACCAATTCAATATATGCCAATGTTGATCATTTTTGGCAGAAAAAACATGGAATTTGAGGGTCCTTCCTTGCCAAACATAGCCTTGAAATCGTCAGGCACTAAGGAGTTTCTTGGATCTTTTCAGGAACCAGCCAGCTCCCCATGGAACTCCGCACCCCAACATGTGAAAAGGTCACACCAACAATTTCCGCTAGTGTAACGCAGACAATGTTTTGATGAAAGTTTGAAATGGGACATAGTGAAAATGGCAGAACCCCATGTGAACGCAAGTTGCGCCATAGTTCAAAACATATGTGTTGGAATGTGTTTTAACATAATCTTATTGTGCAAATCCTATTGCGAACACAGCTTTCATGGGGGTCATAAAAATATATGTCGCGGAGGATCTTTGGCCACATTCAACAAAGGAAAAGCAAGTGTGAACGCAGATTTCATCAGGATCTTTTTTTTGTGGAAACTGTATAGAGAACATTATATATATATATATTGCATAACATATATATGTTATAGTATATATATATGTTATAGTATATATATGTTATAGTATATATATATGTTATAGTATATATATATATATGCCATCCAAAGATGCTGAACATTCTGAGGATCCAACCACCTTCATCTTGCTCAAAGCGAAGGTGCTGGCCCGCGTCATGAAGGACCTTGTTGGATACCCGCCAAGCGCAACATGCTGCTGCTCCACACCCAAGTCTCAAAAGTGTAGTGTAGGAGCAAACATCACAAAACTTAAATCACGGGATTATTCATCATTAATCCCTTCTCCCCAATATTAAAAACTCCTCAGAATATCATGGTCTAGTAGGGGATTTACACATATTTGGGACTTGACTAGGGGATTCCAATCACCAACCTTACCAACCGCAGTCGCCGAGTACCACGCGGCTTTGTCGATGCTTCAATCTGTTGTGCCATGTTTAGGTCTCCTCCACATGTCACAAACTGGCGGGAAAATGAACTAAACATGTCCCCCAAATGGATGGTTTATAATGGAAAATACCATTAAAATGGATGATTTGGGGGTACCCCTATTTCAGGAAAGCATGAAACCCCGCACTTTGTGGGTTCGACCATGTTCAACGTTACATTTGTCAGAGCCATAATATCAATATGTTGGCGAATGCTTCGATTGACACCTCGCAGCTGCATGAATCTATGCGGCTGTCATGGCCGTCCGTTTTAGGTACATTCGGATTGTACCCAGTCGCAGTCATGCTAGATTAGTGAAACGAAGGTTTGAACTTCCCTTCAAATTTTGCCTAGTCGATCCATGTTCGATGGAACTAAAAAATACCCATCCCCCCCTGAATTTCCCTATTTGGAGCCCAAGAAAAATTAGAATAGGAGATAATTGGAGTTTTGGGGGATGCTTAATGGTATGGTAGGGATTACAACCACAAGAACATCCGCAGTAACACCCCTGGCTCCTTGTCACCGCTACTCCTCAACGGTGTTCTGGGTGGGCGTCAATGAATCGCTCGCACGCTGAGAATGGCAGAGGGGCCGTGACTCGAAAACAAATGGATGGTTTCAAATTGAAACCTAAAAAAATAACAAGCATTAACAAGCCATTTTTGGGTCCTCTGAGAGACAGATTCTTGAATCATCTCCCTGTTATTGACATCTATTTGCGGCGCCTACACTCCTGGAATGTCCTGGATACACGTGAATTTGTCTGAAATAGGGTAGATGTTTCCCCCGCAATAATTTATCAAACTAGATGGTTGATCATGATTGTTCCCCTTAAAATGCCATTTGGGGCGTCAATTTATTGTATACCATAGTTCTGCATGAAGCATTATGACATACCAACTGCATGAGCAACTAGCCGACCATCTAGGGAAAGCACGGGCTAAACCAAGAGAAGCAACTATCAAGAACTACTAAAAAGGGGCATATAAAGCAAAAAAACAACTACTGTATCACATAACAAGTTTAAACTGGTACACACCCACTATTTAGAGGAAATTGACATGATGTGACTAATGCCTGTGACCCATGGCTCCTTTTTGGCCGCGAACGTTGATTGACGGACTTCGGGTGGCAGCCCGCTGTGGTTGCGCTTGGTCAGGCATGGATGGTCATGGTCAAACTTCAGTAGGGAAAAACCATCCTGGGTGACAGGGTGAGGTACTTGGGGGTGCAGTAAGGATTATAAAATGTTATAAATGGGTATAACAATGGCGATAACCTCCATAAGTTGGGATATTTACCCCTACAATGGCCTACAACTATGGTAAATATCACCGTTATAACCACTTCTCAGTGGTATCCCCTCCTGTATCGCATATTCTTGGGCAACGACGGGTGTCATCTGAGCCATGCCCCAAGCACAACCACAGTGGAGCCGTCTTCGTGGGGGCCGCAACCATTTTCATTGCAGCCACCGAGGTGAAACCAACGGCATCTCTCACTGACTCTGTGTCCTTCCGAAACCCATCAGTCACCACTGCATCTCATGGTGGCCCTATATTTTTTTCTTGAAGTTATATAGATGAAGTGAGTACCAATAAGGGTCACCCGGTCAAACCTAGTTCTTTGGACCCGGTTCTCCCCAGAGATGGCAGAAATCTGCTCAGGCTGCAACCATCACTGCGGGTCACTACATCATCCCTGTGTTGGGGGTGTAAACCTCTATATATTGGGGATAGATACCCTCTGGTAATTTAACATAGCTATTAAAAATGACCATAGAAATAGTGGATTTACCCATTGAAAATGGTGATGTTCCATAGTTTTTTGTATGTTTACCAGAGGGTAAAATGAGTGGCTTTACCGCTAGCCAGGCTAGAAAAGGGTTTTTCAGATACCGGTAGACAAACATCTCTGAGCCATTAAAAGTACCACATCCCATCTAGTTGAATACCAAAATTTGGTTGAGAAACCCAGGTAGCATAACTCCTTATAATAACCAATCAACCGGGGTATTTTTAACAGCTTAAATATGGCAAGTGGATAGCCATCGCGCCTCTCGCTCCTTTCGGTGAGGGGATGTACCACCAAGGGCCTATCATGGTCAAGACTGAGAGGTCCGACCGTGAAACTGGGATGTCTATCTGGTAAAACTCAATGATATCACCATCTTCATGTTCAGGTTCATCGTCATAGTCATGGTCAGTGTCATTTGTCATCATGTGTTTCTTCATCGTCGTCATCATCATAATCATAATATATCATAATCATAATTAATCATGTTCTTCATCATAAGCAGTCAAATTATATAACATGAGTGTTTGCAAAGAAAAGCAGACTTGCCAAAGAACCCACCACCTTTGTTGCACCTTTGTTGCACCTTCGTTCTAATTTGAAAAAAATGGAATCTCTATGCATTTGTCCCATCAAAAGTGAGAATCTTACCAGTAAAATCCGCCAAATTTCCGCTGTCTTTTCTTCGCAGGAAGCCTCTTGCAGAGATCCGAGAACTCCCCATTGTCGTGCGCAGCGAAGCGCTCGTAGTCCTGGGGATATGAAAAACACTGGGACCCGTGGAGAAAGAATGGGCTACTGGGCCAAAAATGTGGATAAACCATGGATAAACCATGGATAAACCATGGATAAACCATGGATAAACCAGAGGATTCCTGATTCAGAGAATATTTATCGATCATATCGATCATAAAGGGGTCCAAGTATCGATCAATCCTCCTGTTGGATGCAAATGTTGACCATCAAATCGCTGGTTTCCGGATTGAAATGACCATCGGTATCCAAGTTTTTTGGCCCAACCCGTATCTGTGGTTTTGCACTGAGTCACTTCAAAGTCTGGAGCTATTCAATGACGATGGGTGTATCCCTGGTATATCGCCGGAGCTTTTTGGATTCCAATCGACCCAGATCCCACGATTTGTGGCTTGCATCTCAGCAAATTCTTGCTTACACATGGATGTTGTTGGATACCTCCCGATAAGTTGCTTTTTGAAAACTATCATGTTCTATCTAGTTATGCTAATTATATCTAATTAATTATGTGACATACTGTGGATGGAAGAAATCTTGCACCATCTTGGATGGTTGAAACCCTAGAAATAATGGGATAAACCATCTATCAACTGGTGCAGGATTTCTTCCATCCACAGTATCACTTCGTCATATCCTAAAAGTTTCGTGATTTTTGGGACATGTTTCCTGTGTTCACACCCCGTGCGTTCTTTCTGTCGACCAGCCTCCACCGTGCGTGGCAGGTCCAGTGTGCGATAGGGCACCTGGAACCGGGGTCATGTTGACTCCATGTATTTCGTGGGGATGATTTACCATGCTTTGCCTGCTACAAAATCTGGTTGGTGGTTGACCTACCCCTCTGACAAATATGAAATATATGATGGAACAATAAAAAATCTTTGAAACCACCAACTAGATATTAGCTAGCTTCAGACTTCTAAAGGTCTAGTAGTTTTTTGAAAGGCTAACTGCTAGTCTCCAGCCCCAGGATGGATTGGTCCCTGCTGGCCCCACATCCCCCGGCCTCTGGAACCGCTGGTGGCTCGTACCCCATCCTGGAAACGGGTTCCAAATGGGAAACCCCGTGGCTGATCGGTTGAAGTGCAGCAAGGCCAAAGGAGACCAATATCTCTGGTAAAATAAGAGCCATTTGGTCATTTGGTCACCATCATTGGTGAGGTCATTGTGAGCTTGCTACAAAGGCATAAGAAATACCAGGTGGATCCAGGTGGATCTTCATTCCACCAACTCTTAGCCTTAGCAAAGCCCTAGTGTTGAGGCTTTATCCAAACATGATTCATTCCGTGCCGCTCCTAGGCAGTAGTCCATGCTGAGAACCTGGCCAGTTGCTTGCAGAGGGAAGTAGATCTCCATGTCCAAAAAATGGGTGGGATCTCCGTTGAAAATGGATCTGTCTGAAAATCGTCACATGGTTGGAGTTCAAAATACTAAGACAATATGGCTTGGAGATTCCGCTTGATTCTCGAAGAAAGAAAAGAACGATTCCTTCGTAATCAGGCGTTCATGGTCAAACTACCATTTAGCTTCTGGATCCCTCTGGTACTATCACATAACAGTGTAGAATCTGCCAGTTGTGAATGAGTTTCATGTTGAACATAGGGGCTTTTCCATTGCCTTATGAAATTATCAGAGGGCGCAAAGTGTTGTTGACGGTATCATCGGGACTTCTTTTGACCTTTGTGGTCCCGCTTTGCTGATTCTATCTCCCCTGGAAGGTTCATGCCAACATTCCGCCCAAAGCGTATGGATGACAGGTTGTCTTAACGAGATACATTGGGCTCCATAGTCTTGCAACTTTCTACCTGCAAATGTGCCCAATAGCTCCCCTTCAATTTGGGGTGACAACTTGATTCTTGTTGGTTGTATGGCCCCACTTCAGGCTCTATCAACGCGCGAAGCATGCAGCGATTAGTTTACCCAGGCCAAAACCATTTGGTTGGGTAAATCATGCTAAATCCCCTTCTTATTCATTTATTTCCCTATGTTTGGTGGCCAGAAGTCTCGTTTTGGCTGGTAAATATCCCATGTTCCACCGTTCCACCATTGCTGGTGGTTCATAGCCCCATCTTTGATCATTTTTGGCGGCAAAACATCCAATTTTGTGTGGTTGATACCCACATGTTTCTTGGTTACTGTTCCTTCGTCTCAGATACTCTCTGGATATCTAATGCAGCTATATGGAAACTCATTATTTTTTAGAGGTAAACCATCATATTTATAAATGGGCCATTGTCATCCATTGTCCATGGCTATGTTAAATAACCAGAAGGATATCCCATTCATATCCCATTAAATCCCTATAAAATCACTATAAAATCCCATTAAATCACTATAAAATCTCATACAAAATCCCATTAAAACCCTATAAAATCTTAGTGAATCCCTCTAAAATCCCATTAAAATCACTATAAAATTTAAATCCCTATAAAATCATATAAAATCCCCATTAAAACCCTATAAAATCTCATTAAATCCCTATAAAATCCCATTATATAAATCACTATAAAAAATCCCATTAAATCCCTATAAAATCCCCAACCATTGGGTGTTTCTCCAAGAATTTCTATCGCCATTTTGGCACCTTCCTGGCTCTCACTGTGGCTCTTGTCTCTCCGCCGAAGCTCAATGGGAGGAAGCGAGTCAGGCCGCGCCTCAGATCCGTGGGAATGGACATGTGTGCTTTGTAGATTACCCCCTGGTAAATTAACAGTTCGACCCTGGCAGAAAACGGGGTTGGAAGATTAGTTTCCATTAAAACTAGGCTATTTTCAGGGTCCAACTGTTAATTTACCAGAGGGTATGAATGGAAATGCACTTCGAAATTGGAGATGATGATTTTTTAAGGGAAAACACCCTTAAATCCACCGTACAGATTGGTGAATGATGAAAACTTGGCTGGAAAATCTGCATTTCCCACACGGCTCCAGGTGTTTGTTTCTCTTTTGCCAAAGGACTTTTTTCGATAGGGGGGGAAGCAGAGTTGGGGAGTTCCAACTGTTTATTGACCAGTTGCTTGTCAGTTGTTGTCACAATTGGGTACCAGGAAATGATATAATTCACCCCAACGGGGATGTCGCTGTACATGATGTTCAAACACAATGATTATTGGTGCGATCCTGCTTGAATCATATCAAATCACAATCTTTGTTGCTTCACCTTTTTGTCACATTTTTTGACATCTGATACATCTGTTTCTTTGTAATATATTGTAATCATTGAATCAACTCAATTTTGCAACTCAAGTCATCACCCAGCTGACTTCAGGCCGCATAGAGCTGTGCACCTTCTTGGCGGCGACCTCCTCCAAGTTCCCAGCCCCATTGCCTGGCCGATGATTTTTAGGGAAACCCAGCCCAAGCCATAGAGCTTTCCATCTCAACTTACCTCAGGCTATTTTTTCAAATCCAAAAGTTGAAACATCCGAGAACTTCATGGGGGAACTTTTGAAAATCTTTTGCCCCAACCCCTCCAACATCCTCCACCCACACCCTTCACCTCGCACACCGCGAGCGGAGTAGCAACTGGGCGCCTCAAAAAAGACCACAAAAGGGGGTCTGATTCCCATGGGTCATTTTTTGTGCTGAGTTTTGCCATTGAAAATGGTGAATTCATATGGGATGTGGATGTGTCATGCAGGTTGTCCAATCATCCAATTCCCGGAGTAACAGAGAGGATTTGACCACTGAACAGTCTATGAATAGAGAATTCAAGGGAGTACAACCAGCCAAAAGAAGGGATTTAAGTGATTTAAGCATCAAAAATAAGGATCTATAATATAACCAATGAATAATGGATTTGGGTCGTGGAAATTTGGTATACCCAAATATATGGCCATGTCATAGAGAGCATTTTGCTGATCAATGGCTGGATTTGGTGCCGGATTTCTGACGAATCCAAGTCACAGATAAAAAATTATGCCATCAAATTGTGCTATGCTATGATGTGATATGTACCCCTGGTGAACATCAAAATAGCTGGTAAATGGATGTTCATCCCCCTAAAAATGGTATGTTCATAGGTATTGATCTATAGCCATATGACAATGATGTATGATACAGGCCTCATGAGGCTGCGCCTTCCGCGTGGTACCTGGCGAGAGATTGGTTGGGTTTCACTATTTGCCGGGTTTTTCAAAAGCAGCCTAAACTGATCAAAATAGTGATTTTTACCAGCAAAAACTGGAGTTTCACCAAGAAACATGGGCATGTCATCAACAGAATTAGATAAAAGTGCGAGGTTTTACCACTAAACATTTGGATCTTACTGTCCTATCAACAAAAATGCTAGTTCACCAACACTCACAGGGATTGAACCAGCCAAAATGGTGATTTAACCAGCCTGTATGGGGATAGTACCACCAAATGATAACCAGAAGTGAACTACGGCCAGAATTTTCATGGCTTTGTCTGAAAAGGTGGATTACCCCAAAATGCTAATCGTAGCGGGGAACACCTACGTATTTTCATTGGAATATATTTGGGTATACTATCAATGACATAGTTTTCATGGGGAATAACACAACTATAATATGATTTGGGTAGATTTGGAAATCTATTTTTGGACTATGGACCATAATAACCATTCCAACCCATCCCTTGAAGAAACCTCCAGGCAACAGGGCAGCACCATTCAGTTCCTGGCCGCAACGGGGACGACATGTGGCGTGAACGTCACCTGGGCCGATCTCCCCTTCTCTCACAAAAAACAGGCATTGCCCTCTAATCCAATCATCATTGCAGTTCCAAAGAAATTTCCAAGATTTTCCAATGTCCTGGCAACTGAAATGAACTCCAATAGATGAGAATAGCACCTTCTTGCGACCTCGGGGGCCCTAGGGGGCCCCCAAAAAGGGGGCCCTATATGGGGCCCCGTTTGCAGTTCGCAACTTCAGTCCCTCCTCTGTCATGCAGGGATCCGCCATGATCAAATGGTACCTCGTCTGGAGGATCACCTTAAGCCGGGTAGAAACACCCCGCAGTTGGCGATGTTAGTGGGGAAACTATGGATGAACTAGTGGATTTGGGAAATTTAGGGGTGCCCTCTGGTAAACTAACATAGCTATGGAAAATCACCATCTTTAATAGGTAAATCATGTAAATCAACTATAAATGGGCCATTTTCAATAGCAAACTGTAACAAATTACCAGAGAGGACCCTATTTTCAGACCCAAATGATGAACCAGCAGCTGGCAGCGTGTCAGCTTGTGTTGGGCAACGGCACCAATCGAAGGATGACTTCAGCAGTTTTCCAAGGCACGTCCTTTTCGGAGACGATGGAAGCAAAGATGAAGTTCAGCACGCCATCTGCTGCCACCTTCGTCATATGCAAAATATGTGGCATTGTGGCACTTTGGCAGGGCAAACATGAAAAACACATGTTGTCACTGGCAGTTCCAAGATCCAACATGTTCAAAATTGGACAAAATATTATCATCCCTATCATGTTGGATTTTAGAACTATTATGTTGACAATACTATTATCAAAATAGAACATCTTGATCATAGTACCCTCTGGTAATTTACCAGTTTGCTATTGAAAATGGCCATAGAAATAGTGAGTTTTCCCATTCAAAATTGTGATTTTCCATAGTTTTGTAAACGTTTACCAGAGGGTATCATGCCAAAATAGTATCATCCCTACTATCCCCATCATGTCGGCCGCCTTGAAGTGGAGCGCCACGTGCTGGTGAGGCCCTAAGAATAACATCTGCCTGGCGACACGAAACATGGGGGGTTGGCAAATGCATCATGAAATTCATGAAATGGGGACATTGGGATGAGTTATGCCAACATGTGGATTTTTCCAACAAAAATGGTGATTTAATATGATTTAATAGGGATGATAATAGGGATGATAGCAGGATTTTGTCATGGATTTTGTCATGGATTTAGCCTCCCTTTCCTCATCAAACAAAGGCTGACTTGGAAGTCCCCCAACTAGCCATGGAGGTTGATATCTGGGAAAATTCACCGCTTTAAATGGGAGATTTTCCAGCCATGTTGGATTCACAAGGAGTCAACAGTTGGGTCAATGTTGGGTGCTTCGTTGGAAAACGTTCCAATCAAATAGTGGATCTTGACCTCACTACATCTTGCTATTCGGTATTCTTTTTTTAGGAGGAAAGTCACGTTCAGCAAAAGAAACCTGTCCACTGCAAAGAGATCAAATCCTTCATGGAAACTTGGCGTCAGCAAAAACGGATGAAAACCTGTCCTGAAAAATGGCTACTACAATTGCTCCAGTTCAAGCAAACAAGTGGAGACAAAGTCATTCAGAATCATCACACCATCCCACTAACCGGTGCATGTGATCATCCTGGAGGGCGATTTGGAGGGTCTACTGTATACCACTCCTGGATCATTTGTAATACTTGATATTTCACTATCTATAGCATATGATAGCATATGTTAGTGACCCGTAAAACCTTTTTTAAAAAAATACGCAAGGACTTTAGATTGGAATGTTAATTTTCACCATCTTTTTCGGAGCTGCTATGCCAAAAACAATTACCTCTGTCGGGTTTCCGAAGAAAACCCATGGAGCAGCCTCACTCGTTCTTGCTCGATGCGTCGATTCAAGGTTTCGCTGGCCGCTAAGATCACATCCTGCGCTTCTTTGTTTGGTGGGTGGTTCTGAGGAAATTGGGATGTTTTCTTCTTCAAACCACCAGCAAAATTGACTGTTGAAACCCTGTTCCTGCAAAATCCCTCTTGATCACGCCATAGATTTTGAAGATTCCTTCAGAATCGATTGAAATCAGATGAGCAGCGCCCAAAACTTTCTGTCATCTTCTCTATCCTTGGTCTATGAGGATTCACATAGTGGATAGTGATCCCTATCAAAGCAAATAGTGTACGTATGTGTACATAATTACCAATCAACTAACAACGAATCTGTTTCGCGTCCAAATCAGCACCTGCGAAAATGTCAGACCCAGGGACCCTAAATTGGTCATACACTGTATGTTCATGTTGAGTCTGAAGGAGTACCACATTTGACACATTTCCAGATTTTTCTCACGGGATTAATGATGATTTACGTATCAAAAATAGGGGAACACTGAAAAACCTCCAACAGGCACCTTTCACAACCCCTCCACGTGCGAGACCTCCATATGTGGATGCCGATGATTCCGATAGCGGCTACTCACACTGGAAAGGCCTCAAAAACCATCGCTGCAGCGACGAGGCCCATTGCCCATTGCGGAAAAGGATCTTCAGTTTGCGTTGAGAGTCACAAGCTAGAAAGCCAAACCTGTCAATTTGGGTGTGTCTGAAAATGTTGTGTACCCCTAAACCCAATGGTTAATGATCATTATCCCTATTAAATGGCTATAATTGGGAATATACCCTATTTTCAGACAAACCCATTTCAATATTCAACCAATGAAAAACCGCTTCAACATTCCGAAGCTTCCAACATGTTCAAACTTCGAAAAACTTCATCATCTTCACCGAATTCCCCACCTTCCCAGCCCTCAAAGGTGGCACAGCGGTCGAAGATGTTGCCACCTGCAGATCGCGGGAATGGTTCAAGGTCTTTTTCTGCCTGGAGACAGCTTTGGTTCATCATTAGTTGGTAATTCTTTAGCATTAAACCATAGAGTACCAATTACATTTATAATTGTCGTATTTTTTATTGGGTATTCATATTCTACGATATTCTACCATCATTACTTTTTGGTCAAGGGTGTCTCAAGCCTCTCAAAGCCGTGCGTGCCAATCATACTGGGTCAAAATCATTGGACCCTAAGAAAAGTGGGATGTTTTACCCTCTGGTTATGTCAACAGTTTGCTATTGAAAATGGCCATAGAAATAGTGGATTTTCCCATAAAAAATGGGTGGATCTTTCCATAGCTATGTTAAATTACCAGAGGGTACTACAAACAATTGCTGAGTGTGAGAGCACATTATAGTTTGTCTTGAGACATGTCATCCATCTATGAATGATCTTATATATCAATTGGGAAAGCCATATGGGATAGCCATATCATTCATAGGAAAAAAATGAAAATGATAATTCATAGATTTACATAGCAATATAGTACATCCATAATGAATGATATGATTTGAGTTCACATAGCCATATCATGCATCTATCTATCAATGAATCATATAACTACTGTATATGTCATTATGTGTATATATATGGCCATATCAATTTAAATGAATATACCTATATCAATTTGGGGTACCCCGAATTTGACTCAACCGACCCTCTTTTTGCACCGCTCTAGAGGGATCATGTCTGATCCATTTTCAGGATGCCCTAATGTAGAAACACCATATCACATGTGCTTGTGTGTGTGTTCACTGTATCTGTATGCATTTTGTATATCATATGCACAAGTATGTGTATATATATATACACGCACTACATATGCACAATATATAATATATAATATAATATGTATATATAATGTATAATATATAATATATAATATAGAATATAGAATATATATAATATATATACTATATAATATACAATGTGTAATATGTAATATATAATCTATAATATATGTATAATACATAACATATAACATATAACATATATAATATATAACACATATAGTATACATATAGTATATAATACAACATAATACAATATATATATATAATATATACATATA